TTTCAGGTGATACTGAAACCTCTTGTAGGATGGCTGACAAGTCATAATCTGAGTTTTATTTTCTGTTCTTTTATTTTAAATGTGGGGCTACACATGCTTACTTTCGTCCTTCACATTTATGGCAGAAAACAACTGAGATGATATTTTGAAACTATGCAAAAAAAATGAATAGGTTGATGCAAATATAAGGACAAATACAACATAAATAACTGGAAGTTATTTTTATATTTAAAAAAAGTGATTCTACCTATTTGTAAAGAATAGGTCTTTGGAGGGATTTCAGCCTTCTTTTCACTCGTTGTATGAATCAGACAAGATCTAGCATCAATTTGATTGATGATGGCTGGGCAGAGAAAGTTGAACTCTGTAGCGTTCAGCGGAACCTGTATACCCATGCCATGTGACGTAAGCAGCTTTGATGCATTGAAACACTGAAGGAAACAAAGCAGTGAAAATCAAATAACAGGTATTCCCAACACAGAATCCCAAAAAGTAGGTGGATGATAACACCCTTTCCTCACTAAAGCTATTTATTTAAGCTAATGCAAATTAAAAGCAACTTTTGTTTTGAGTACTTTGGAACTTGCTACAAGCTACTTGGAAATACTGTGTCACAATGATGGCATCGCACCTTCTTCTGCCTACTTCTTGGGAGAAGCACTTACATCACAACTCACCTACGGGGGAAAGCTTCATGTGGAACAAGTCTGGGGATGAATAGAGATTCACAAGCCAGTTAACACATTGTATAAACCGGCTAAGGAAATGAGCTTTAATTTCAAAATGGGATTCATTAGAGATTGAGAAATATGTTGTTTTAAGATTAACGCTACCCTACTTAGCCTCGACAAGCCCAAGACATGTTCTTTCAGCAATGACCTACTTGCAAAAACCTAGCTCAGTTCTGTTTACATACCTGGAGAAAAATGCTCTACAATGAGAGAATATTAAATTATATGGACTGCTCTTGTGGAAGGCAAGGCTGCTAATAAAATAAACCTGTACTGGCAGGCAGATGTTTTCAACAATTTAATTGCATGACAAGTTTAGTTTGAAGAGAAGCTCCTTTATGCAACTTAAAGTCCTCAGCCTGCAAAAAAAAAAAAAAAACAAAAAAAAACAAACCACAAACCCTGCCCATAGTACCTGTTTCTCACCTTCTACTTTATACTCCCATAAGTTCTCAGCCAGAATTAGAACAAACTTCATCACTGGTGTTGCTAGGGCTGACCATTTACCATTAGTAGAATTGGAACAGTCATGTTCTCATTTGAATGAAGTACTTCAGTACTGATTAAGGTATACCATCTAATTCCTTGTTCTTGACTTCTCTCAGTCAAGGTGAATTTTGGACAGTGTGGAAGTCTAGTCTAGAAAAAGCGAATGAACACAAAACCTCACGTGCCAGACTTCTCACTTGTCCAGGATGATGTTCTTGGTAGCTGCTCCAATATCAATCTTTACAAAGCCTCTGTGATCCTTTGCTAAGGAGACCTCTCTGCTCCTCTCAGCATTCTTCAGGGTCTTTGAACACACCTTTCCCTAGAACATGGATTCTAACTTCTGCTTTTCCAATCCTCCATTTTCTACCTTTTATTAATATTCACCTTTAATAGTTTTCTCCAAAAAACAAAACAAAACAAAACCCTTGATATCTTCCTGTAAATATTTTACATCTATGTTACAAAAAGTTTAGCAGGCACTATTCTCTCCAGAGAACTATCTCCCAAGACCTGTATAAGGAATGCTTATGACATAGCAGGCACACTTGGAGCCAAGTGCCTAGCTGAGAAGCTAGCAAAATTTGCTTTTCAATAACATCAGTTTTATCCTCACTTTAAACTCCTCACAACCAGAACTAGAGTTGCAATGACAGAACTGACAAGCAGGTGCCGTAACGTAACAAACAGCATTTCTCTCACCTCCTGAGTATTTTCATTCGTGTTTCTGGAATACATAAAGCCTTTCCTGGGCTCACTTGCAGATTCATTGGTTTTCCTCCCAGCCAACCGGCCCACCCGGCTCTTTTGTGTGACACTGGGTGGAGTGGACCTGCTTCCATCTTTAGGGAAGGGTTTTCCAGATTTTGGAGTCTCTATCGTCTCCAGAAAGTGAGTTCCTTCAGAGACAGCATTGTACACAGTGGAGGTCACTTCACTTACACCCTCCTTGGCATTCCTCCGACCATTAGTCCGTTCCTGGCGGTGAGATCCTTTTCCCTGGCTGTTTCTAGAGTCTTTACCTGAACTCTCAGAGTCACGGTCTGGGCAAAGAGCTTTGCGACTGTTTTTATTGGAAGCAGCCCGGTTCCGGTGAGGGTGATGACTGTGGTCAGAGTGACGCTCATGGTCATGGTGTATATGGATTCTTTTAACCTTATCTATGCCTATATTCTGAAGCAATTTTTTGAACCCTTCAACAGACAAGGAATTATTTTCTCCATAGCGATAGAAAAGTTGTTGTAGATGATGTCGTCGTGCGGTAACTGCCAAGTCAATATTAATGCCAGATTCCCAATTGCCATTACTTTTCTCAGTGGTCTGAGGGAAAGCAGCTGATTCCAGTTCATGAAGGGGATTTGTGAATGAAAACGTGAAGGTCAGGATCAAGATAACAGATAAATTCCTCGCCATTGGACCTTCCTAGAAAAGAGGGGGAAAATTCCTTGACTTCCCTCCTAAAAACAACATGAATTAAGAAACCTCATGCTGAAAACTGATGTCTATAAACAGTTGCAATCTACAGAGCATTGTATGAAGTGCAGATATAGAGAACCAGAAGCCTTGCATCGCTGAAACACAGGAAGCAGTGGTAGAACAGCTGAGTGCTAGGACTGTGACAAAAAGTACAGTAAAGCCAACACTAATTTAGAGAAGGGAAGTGAGCCACATGGCCACAGCCATCCAGGCAACAAACTGTGAATTGTGCTGAAAATAATGAATCAAAACAAAACAAATCCCAACTACCTCCACCATCACCATCAACTCATAAAAGAATCTTTTAACACCAAAAAAGTAGAAGTGATCACCTCAGAATTCACATTTAAAGTTTTTCTTAAACAAATACACTCATTATTCACAAATGCATTTAAGGTTCCTTTCCCACCAATCTACTCCTCAAAGGCTCTGAATCCCTCAGGATATTGTCTATGCATACTCAAATAGATGTGCTCTTTATTATCAGCAAACAAACTTTTTCCCCACTAAACAATGAATTCGACATGTTTTCATGCCAATACAGACTTACCTTATTCTTTCGAAGTACCTGGTGACAGTTCAAATAAATTAAACCTCACGAGACACTATGTCATTTTTATGTCAAGCCAGTGAAACTTTCATCATAGACATAATTTCCACATGAGTGTTTGCAACCAAAGGCCCAAGCCCCAAAGAGTTAGCGCAGGAGTTGGGGCCTGGAAAGCAGAATTCAGTTAAGCAGAGGAAAGTACAGTCAGGTAAGAGGATGCATGGCTAGCTCGGGACCCAGCAGAAGTCCTGCACCAGTGGTGGAGGGTGATGGACCAAACTCATGTCTCTGCAAAAATCAGGACCGAGGAAGAGCACTGGGGCAACCCAGTGCTATCACTTTCAGTTGTTCTTTGGAGCGGGAGACTCTAGCGTTCACCGCCTCACCCTGGAGAACCCGAGATACCTATTCTGCAAGGTGAATGAGCACACACGAGCATCTGTGGAAGTACCGGTTAAACTCAGGCGCTGCACAAGCCTGGCTCTCCACGGTGGAGGCCCCCAGCGGCAGGGCTGGACTCCTCAAAGAAGAACTTTCGGGGCCTGAGGTGTGTGGGCAACTCCCTCTTAGAGGCTGAGGGGAAGCATGAAGACTCCTTCCTGGAAACAGGCGAGGGGCAGGGTGGCGAGGGCAGGCCCGGGGGATGCGTCAGCCGATCTCCTCCTCCTCCTCGGCCTGTGCTGGAGGCAAAAAAGCCAGCCTGAGGAAAGGCCTTGGAGCAAAGGGAGTGGCAGCAGCGGAGAAGAGGACACTACGTTTGGCTGCCAAGGGCTTCTGAAAACACGTCAGCAGCACTCGTTCGAACACTGCATTAAAAACTCCAGCTGTCTCCTCCAAGTCCCCCGCCGGACCCCCGAAGCCCTTCTGGGCGCCCCACTCCGGGAAGCCCGGCTCTCCAGGGCGAGGGGGCGGTGGCGGCGGGCTTCCTCGGCATCCCTACTCTGCGGCCAGCCCGTCCGGCCCTCAGGACCGCCGTCTCGGCTGGGGCCCCTGATTCCCGCGCCCCATCCCCGGGCCCGTGGGACTCACCTCCCCGCGGCCTCGCCGTCCCACGGCCCAGTCCCGCGCGCAGGCTCGGCGCCCCGCGGACGGTCCCCAGGGTTCGGGAGGCGCTCGTGCTGATCTCGCCGAGACAGCGCTACACGGCCCGGGGAAGCGGCCTTCTCATCCGCCCCGCCGCCCCTCAGCCCGGCCGCGCCGCCGCGCCCTCGCGTCTCGGGAGAAGGAGGACAATCGGTAATTACCGCCCCGCGCGCGGCGCGCAGCCTGGACCACCGCCTCCTCCAGCCCACACCGCCGGGCATGCGCAGTGCGGCCTGGGAGCGCCGGCTCCGCACGCGGGTCTGGGCTTCGCGCGCGGGGCTCGCAAGGGCGGGCGGAGGCAGGGCGCGGAGCCGGAGGTGCTGGCGCGATGCGGATGCGCCTTTCTTTGAGCCCCTCCGCACCCCTGCGCTTCTCTGAGGCCCGAGACACGCTCGCCAAGGCTTCCCGGGCCAGTTCCGTCTGCTGCCAGGAGCCGGGCCGTGAGGGGCGGCGGGACGTCCCTGACCTCGCCCTGGACCGAGCTCGGCTCCTTCTCGAGGGTCCTGGGCTACGCCAGCCGAGCCTGCACCGCGCGCTGAGCTTCGGCCGAGGAGATGCGAGCTGGAGGCGGATGGAGAACTCCCCCGGCCTGGGAGGGGCGGGGCCCGCGGGGGCGGGGCTGCCTGCGCTCCGCCCCCGGCCGCCTCCGAAACGCGGTCCGGATGACGCCCGGGAGAGAGGCGGCCGCCATCGGGTGGTTCCGCTCCGAGGGCGGAAGTGCGCGCCTGGCACTTGGCTGCTGATCGGCAGGCAACATGGTGGCTCCCGTGCTGGAGACTTGTCATGTGTTTTGCTGCCCGAACCGGGTGCGGGGTGCCGTGAGCTGGAGCTCCGGGCCCGGAGGGCTTCTGGCCTTCGGCACGTCCTGCTCCGTGGTTCTCTATGACCCTCGGGTAAGAGGAGGTACCGGGGCGCCCCAACCCCTCTGCTTCTGGGCGTGCTCGGGTGAACTGTGTTTGCCGCCCCGGAGCTGGGAAGCCGAGTTAGCGGTCGTGTTGGCTCCGGGTGGTGGGTCTGGGGGCGAGGAGTGTCCTGCGGCCCGCCGCGCGCTGCGTCAGCCAGGTCACCGTGCCTCAGATCTTGCCTGTTGCCTGTTAGCCTCACCTCCAAACCCGAATCCTGAGATGCTTATCTGATGCCTTCCCGGGGGAACTGTGGTACTGTTAACGAGTCAGTTTGGATTTTACAAGAATCGTGATTTAGGTATGGACGCAAGCCATCGTCCCTCAGATGCTATCCCAGGCCTGCGTTTCCCTCTGTGTTTCTTAATGAACTTTTGTGGTGCGGCATTTCAAATAGGACCTGTATTTTAGCTAGAGTACGGGCTGTTTGAGGACAAGGTCTTAGGGAATGGGGATCCTAAGCATTGGTTGTAAGGCTTAAGGCTGGGCGAATCTTTTCCCTGAACCTCACCCAGTCAGTTGATGATTTTTGGTTTTGGCCCTTCTCTTACCAGCCTTCTCAGTTAAGTAGGTTTTGCGTGCTGTCCAGAGTTCATTATGACCCCTTTCCTGTCGGCTGAGTTAGGACGGTGCAGTTAGGATTGCATCTCAAAAGAACCTCAGCATAACCCTAAACTACAAATTAAAATGCAGAACAAGAGATGGTAGTGCGTGTTTCTTACATTGCTTTATTAATTTGTTTCTGAAATATTCCCTTTTTTCCTATCTTGCTTGTCTCTTTTGGTTCCCTCCCTCCTTCCTCCTTCTCCCTCCCTCCTTCCTCCTTCTCTCTCCCTCCTCCCACCCCCCTCCCCCTCTTCCTTCCTCCCTCCCTCCCTCCTTCCCTCCTTCCTTCCTTCCTTCCTTCCTTCCTTCCTTCCTTCCTTCCTTCCTTCCTTCCTTCCTTTTTAAAGATTTATATATCTGTTTGAGAGAGTTACATAGAGAGAGAAGGAGGCAGAGAAAGAGGTCTTCCATCTGCTGCTTCACTCCTCAGATGGCCACAACAGCTAGAGCTGAGCTGATCTGAAGCCAGGAGCTTCTTCTGGGTCTCCCATGTGTGTGCAGGGCCCAAGGACTTGGGCAGTCTTGCACTGCTTTCCCAGGCCACAGCAAGAGAGCTGGATCAGAAGAGGAGCAGCCAGGACTGGAACCTGCACCCATATGGGATGTCAGCACGGCAGGTGGTGGCTTTACCTGCTTCGCTGGCCCCTCTTTTGGTTTTCATTTCTTCTATTTGCCATGCAGTGTTGGGTGGCAAGAGAAAGCATATCAAGCCAAAGCTAAATCTAACAGCGACCATCAGCTACAAGCTGACGTAGGCGCACATCTTTGTGCAGCAGCTTAATGAGTTTGTACCCATGCCTTCATCATGTTTTTAAACATAACCTGGTGACTGCTTTAGCGTATTTTGACATCAGAATAGGGAATATTGAGTCTAAGAAGTACTTTGTTTAATGTTTGTTGTGCATTTAATTAAATGCGGGGATAAGAGCATGATAAAATTTTGGTAATGATGCTCATTCAGCAAGTTTTGTTGGATAAATCTGGTGATGACACAAAAATAATGAATAATAACTCCTGCCCAGCAAGGAATTCAGCCTCAGAGGAGAGATCATGAAATACTGTAACTTGTTAGCCAGGTGTGAAGTGTATCGGTTGCTATGCATTCGCCTCTGTGGGCCTTTCTCTCACCTGTGAGAATTCTCCTTGGCCTTTAGGCAGACACTCAGCCAGTGCTCATTAGCAACAGTGAAGGTTGCTGCAAACAGGAAGGCACGCAGAAGTTCACAGAGTTGGAATCGGCAGCAGTGGGCGAAGAGGGAATCTCAGGTGTGCAGTGGTGTTGGAGAAAGCTGGAGGCACTGCCAGGATATGATATGTGAGGACCTGAATTATTGTGGCATCCTGACCTTAGGTCACTGGGGCTAAAGAACCTACCATCTGATCAGCCCTGACTTGAAAAGTTAGCCATCAACTTATACCCATTAATTATAATTCCTCTATTCAAGCTTTCTTGTAAACAGAACTCTCAAAATGGTGGGAGACAGAGGCCATGAGGCCAGTGGGAAGAGGCTGCTTGTCTAGCCTGGGATGTCCTGGCAGACGCCGCGGGAGGGAAGGTTCTGGGCATTACGGGAGGGTAAGCAGTGCACTGAGATCTGATAGTATGGTGTGCGGAGAGGATGCTGAGAATGTGGAGAGTGATGGTTTAAAGTGAATTGGTGCTTAGGCCATGAAAGTTTTAACACAGCTGCGGGGCTGACGTGTTGCAGCAGTGCCAATATCCCATATGGACGCTGGTACGTCTTGGCTCCTCCGCTTCCCATCCAGCTCCCTGCTAGTGCACCTGGAAAAGCAGCAGACGATGGCCCAAGTGCTTGGGCTCCTGCCACCTCCTGGCTCTTGGTTTCAGCCCGGTCCAGCCTCGGCTGCTGCAGCCATTTGGGAAGTGAACCAGTGCAAACTCTCTGTGTCATCTCTCCCTCTCTTTCTGTAACTCTGCCTTTGAAATAAATAAATAATGGGGCCAGTGTTGTGGTGTAGCAGGTAAAGCAATGCCAACATCCCATGTTGGCACTGGGTTTGTGTCCTGGTTGCTCCACTTCCAGTCCAGCTCCCTGCTAATGGCCTGGGAAAAGCAGCACAAGATAGCCCGTGTGTGTTTAGGCCTCTGCCAACCATGAGGGAGACCCAGAAGAAGCTCATGGCTTTGGCCTGGCCCTGCCCTGGCCATTGTGGCCATCTGGGGAATAAACCAGCAGATGGAAGATTTCTCTCTCTATAATTCTTTTGAATAAATAAGTAAGTCTTTTTTTAAAAAAAGTTTATGAACTAAGAAAGACAAATCTCTCTGAGGTAGTCTTGATCTATTATTAGTGTTCAAAATACCAAAATATGACTTTTACAAACTTGTTAATTTTTCTGTAGGATAAATTCTTACATACTAACTGGTATTTTCTTTTTTAAAGAACAGGGTTGTTGTCACCAACTTGAATGGTCACACTGCTCGAGTCAATTGCGTACAGTGGATTTGCAAACAGGATGGCTGTAAGTATCAATCTGATAGTTAAAGCCGATCTCTGTTGTTTTCTGATAAAGTATTAGTCATTTTTCTTTCATCACATCTCTTAATTTAGCATCACCTTATATTATGAGTTGGAAAATAGAGGAAAAATGGTGTTAGGTGACATGACTATGTTTACCGTATAGCAATTGAAGCATGGATAACACAGCAGTGCTTAGAGTGAAGGTAGAGACACCCTTTGGCGATGGCAAGCCTTCCTGCCCCCATTACCCATAGTCCTGATTGAAAACTTGTCAGCAGGCCTTAGGCTGAAGCTGTGTTTCAGAAGATTCCACTTCTAGATCTGTCTCTGCTAAAGACAAGCCCTAGCTTCGCAGGTGAGACCTTGCGTCTCTGTTACCCCAGTCTGCACCATAGTGTCATCTGGAAGTGAAGGATTACACTATATCAGGGGACATGTAAGGTCAAAGTTACTTTCATAATACTAAAAAGTGTTCAGTTTTCATTCTCATTCTGTCATGAGTGTTCAGTGGAATTTTCTAGTGGCCATATTATGTGTAATCCCACAGCAGATGAAATACAGAAGCAGATATGATGATCAGCTGTATTCTAATAAAGTCAGACATTAAGGACATTTGCAGATTTGTTAATGTTATTTATGCTAACATAACAGTACATTTAAATTTTTTTTCTGTGATTTTAATGTTTATTTGTTTATAATCATCTACTTGAAAGGCAGAGCAACAGAAAGAGGGGGAGGGAGATCAGTCTTCCTTCTGCTGGTTCACTCCCCAAATACTCACAGTGGCCCAAGCTGGGCCAAGTGGAGGCAAGGAGCCCAAAACTCCAACTGGGTCTCCTATGATTGTGGCAGGGGCCCAAGCACTTGAGCCATCATTTGTTGCTTCCAGAATGTATTAGCATGAAGTTGGGTCAGAAACAAAGTAGCGCCGGTACCACGGCTCAATAGGCTAATCCTCCACCTTGCGGCGCCGGCACACCAGGTTCTATTCCCAGTTGGGGCGCCAGATTCTGTCCCGGTTGCCCCTCTTCCAGGCCAGCTCTCTGCTGTGGCCCGGGAGGGCAGTGTAGGATGGCCCAAGTGCTTGGGCCCTGCACCCACATGGGAGACCAGGAGAAGCACCTGGCTCCTGGCTTCGGATCAGTGTGATGCGCCAGCCATTGGAGGGTGAACCAATGGCAAAAGGAAGACCTTTGTCTCTCTCTCTCTCTCTCTCTCACTGTCCACTCTGCCTGTCAAAAAAAAAAAGCCTGGAACTCAAAATGGCCCTCCAATATAGGTTATGGGTGTTCCAGTTAGCATCTTAACCACTAGGCCAAATGCTCATCCCAATGTTAAAACATTCTTGAGGATGAAAAATCTGTATCTTGATAATGTAGGCGATAAATAGTAAAAATCTTTGAGAATTAGGGTTCACAGTGTTCGCGATGAATTTTTTTTTTTTTTTTTTTTTGGTCTTTTTAGATTTATTTATTTATTTGAAAGGCAGAGTTACAAAGAAGCAGAAGCAGAGGCAGAGAAAGGTCTTCTATCTGCTGGTTCACTCCCAAAATGGCCGCAACGGGTAGAGCTGGATCCATCTGAAGCCAGGAGCTTCTTCTGGGTCTCCCACGCAGGTGCAGGGGCCCAAGGACTTGAGTCATCTTCCACTACTTTCCTAGGATTGGAAGTGGAGCAGCCGGGACTCGAACCGTTGCCCAAACGGGATGCTGGCACTGCAGGTGGCAGCTTTACCCGCTCTGCCACAGGGCTGGCCGGCCCCACAATATTTTTTGTTAGTGGCTGTCCAAAAAAGAAGCTTGTGTTCATATTTGGAAGATGAGATACTAAGCCAGCTGGCCACAATGTTAACAGTTTGTGAATTTGGGTAAAGAATATGGGGGTGTTCTTAAATCTTTTTGGTAATGTTGACTTTTTTTTTAATAAATAAGAAAAAAATAAAAGAGTATTTACTGAGATACAATTTTTTTCAGCTCCTTCTACTGAATTAGTTTCCGGAGGATCTGATAATCAAGTGATTCATTGGAAAATAGAGGATAATCAGGTGGGTAGACCTTTTTCTAATGATAAGAAATTACTTACATCTACTTATATTTTCAGTTTTTCCCCTTCATTTCTATTATGTTGTTTCTTTAAGAAGTTACTCATTCTTGTTGATCAGTAACACAGATGCTGTATCTTCTGTACTTAATTTCTGCTCCTAAATTCATTGTCTGTTATCTCCATGAATTTAATATAATTTTTTGGAATAATTTTCAAACTATTCTTTTTTAATTTTTTTAAAGATTTATTTATTTATTTGAAAGAGTGAAAGAGAGAGAGAGGGGGAGAGGGGTCTTCCATCCGCGGTTCACTCCCCATTTGGCTGCAATGGATAGAACTGTGTCTATTTGAAGCCAGGATCCAGGAGTTTCTTCCGGGTCTCCCAAAGAGGGACAGGTGCCCAAGGATTTGGGCATCTTTACTGCTTTCCTAGGCCACAGCAGAGAGCTGGATTGGAAGTGGAGCAGCCAGGACTCAAACCGGTGCCCATATGGGATACTGGCACTGCAGTTGGTGGCTTTATCCATTATGACACAATGCTGGCCACTCAAACAATTCTTTTTTAAAAGCAAAATTTTGTTTATTCAAAATGCATAGTGACAGAGAGGGTGAGAGATATCTTCCATATACGATTTACTACCCAAAATCCGCAGCAGCCGGGACTGGGCCAGGAGCCTGGAACTCCTTTCCAGTCTTGCCCGTGGTTTACAGGGACCCAAGTACTTGGGCCATGTTCTGCTGCCTTTCCAGGCACATTAGCAGGAAGCTGAATCAGAAGAGGAACAGCCAGGAGTCAAACTGGCACCCAGATATGGCATGTTGGCCTGGTAAGCAGCAGTTCAACCTGCAGCACCACAACTCTGGCCCCTCACACTGTTCTTAGATAGGTTATTCTGGTGTGTGTGTGTGTGTGTGTGTGTTATTTTTGTTTGAAAGACACATGACACACACATACAAAGAAAGAGATTTTCCATTTACTCTTTGAGTCCCCAAATGTCCTCAGCCATTGGGGCTGAGCCAGGCGTAAGCCAGGAACCTAGAACTCCACCTGGATCTCCTACATGGGTGGCAGGAACCCAAGTAATTGGGCTATCACCTGATGTGTCTCAAATGCAGTAACAGGAAACTGGATCACAATCGGAGGTAGAACACAATCCCAGGCACTCTGATAAGGGATATGGATGACCCTAGCAGCAGCTTAAGCCTCTCTGCAACCACACCTGCTCCTATTCTGTTTTTCATGATTGTAAAAATTAGTGGTGATCTGTTAACATAGTAGCTGCTGCCGTGTGAATTTACTTACATAATTTGGAGGGATGTTTCATTAATGCTTGGTTTGGATGGACCTCTATTGATGGACACTAGTTGTGAGTAAAGATTAAAAGTGAAAAGAGTTAATGCATTATATATTTGCATTTTTATTGCATAAAAGAATAAGGCAGAGTATTTCTATTCATGAATTGGAAATGTAGTTTTGAAGGCAAAACACACATGAATAACTAAAAATACCAGGGTAGCTCCACGGGCAGGTGCTCTAGCTTGCTACAACACAACCATAGTGCTGTAAGAGTTCAGAAGAGCTTTAGTAGTTATCTATGAGTTGGATTTTAAGATGTAGAATGATTACCTTGGAGAAATTAAAGGGGCAAGTATTCCAGGTAGAAAAAATAGTGTTGGGGCTGGTGTTGTAGCGTAGTGGGTTAAGCTGTAGCCTGCAATGCCTGCATCCTATATGGGCACTGGTTTAAGTCCTTGCTACTCCACTTCCTATCCAGCTCCCTGCTAATGTGCCAGGGAAAGCAGCAGAAGGCGGCCCAGGTCCTTGGGCCCTTGCACCATGTGGGAGACCCAGATTAAGCTCCTGGCACCTGGCAGCCCTAGCCGTTATGGCCATTTTGGGGATGGAAGTTCTGTCTCTATCTCTCGTTCTTTTTCTGTGTAACTCTGCCATTCAAAGAAATAAAATAAATCTTTAAAAAAAAAAAAGAAAAGAAAATAGTGTTTCCCAAATAAATTACATGTGTGAATCATCTTTAGATTTCTCGCATTCCTTGGAGCTCTGAAGCAGGGAGTTTTGGAAATGTTCCTAGCTAAGGCATTGTGGGCACTTGGACTCTCTACTAGAGAAGTAGAGTAGAAGGAGATCATGTGGGAATTTGAATGCAAGCTTGGAGAATCTGTTCTTTACTAGCAGGCATTTGGAAGTCATTGATGATTTCTAAGCACAGGAGTATGACTATCAAAAGATAATCTGAGGGGCCGGCGCTGTGGCGAGCTGTTTAAACCTCTGCCTGAGATGCTAGTATCCCATATGGGCACCGATTTGCAATCCAGTTGCTCCGATTCTGATCCAATTCTCTGCTGATGACCTGGAAAAACAGTGGAAGATGGCCCAGGTGCTTGGGACCGTACACCCACGTGGGAGACCTGGGTGAAGCTCTAGGCTCCTGGCTTCAGGCAGGCCCAGCCCGGCCATTGTGACCATGTGGGGAGTCAAACACTGGATGGAAGATCTCTCTCTCCCTCTCTCTCTGTCTCTCCTCTTTGCTCTGTAACTTTGTCTTTCAAATAAACAAAACAAATTTTTATAAAGATTTATTTATTTATTTGAGTTACAGAAAGGCATTGGCAAAGAGAGAGAGGTCTTCCATCCACTGGTTCACTCCCCAAATGACTGTCCAAAGTAAGGAGCTTGAAGCTTCTTCTGAGTCTCCCATGTGAGTGCAGGGGCCCAAGGACTTGGACCATCTTCTGCTGCTTTCCCAGGCCATAGCAAAGAGCTGAATTGGAAGTGGAGCAGCTGGGTCTCAAACCATTGCCCATATTGGATGCTGGCACTACAGGTGGCAGCTTTACATACTATACCACAGTGCTGGCCCTCCAAAAATAAATCTTTTAAAACATGTTTCGAATTAGAATATAGAAAACTAGGAAGGGATGCAGCGTGTATTTTTGAAGGAGAAATGATTTTACCATCAATTAGGTTGTTTTTAAAGGGATGGGGAGTTGGTTGATGGGGTAAATAATCAAGAACAGCAGGATTCTGGGGCTGGCCTTGTGGCATAGTAGGTAAAGCTGCCAGCTGCAAAGCCAATATCTCATATAGGCATTGAGGCATTGGTTCATGTCTCGGCTTTTCCACTTCCGATCCAGCTCCTTGCTAATAGCCTGGGAAAAGCAATGGTACATGGCCCAAGTACTTGGGCCCCTGCTAACCACATGGGAGACCTGGCTTCTGGCATCGTCACTACCGAGCCTTGGCCATTGCAGCCATCTGGGAAGTGGATCAGCAGATGGAAGATCCTCTCTCTGACTTTCAAATAAATAAATAAATAAATCTTCAAAAACAAAGCAAAAAGCAATAGGATTCTGTCTTGGATCCCTGGGTGAAAATGGTTATACAAAGAAAAATAGACAAGCAGGAGAGAAGACGTGGAATTTATTTGTAGACATGGCATGTAAATTGTTGGCGAGACACTCTGACTTCCCCTTAGAAGGAGAGAGCAGGTGTGGAGGTGGGTGTAAATTTGAATGACAGCCCCAAAGTAGGGGAACGTAGCAAACTCCACTCTGGCTTGGATAGAGCCAACAAGGGGGGTATCTGTGCACTCTTGTCTGAGATCTTGAAGTGAGACTTAGAAGACCTTCTCCATGCCACCCAGTCTCTTCCTGTCAGTAGAGAGGAAGGTAGACAGCAGGCATAGTGATGAACAGAATGTGAGACCAGACAGGAAGGAGGAGAAAAGGGTATACAAGGCCTAAAAGACAGTTGAAGGAAATAAGAGGGCTTAAGGGAAGGGGTGGTATGTTATTATTTATTTGACAGGTAGAGTTACAGACAGCGAGAGAGAGAGAGAGACAGAGAGAAAGGTCTTCCTTCCGTTAGTTCACTCCCCAAATGGCCGCTATGGCTGGTGCTGCGCCAATCTGAAGCCAGGAGCCAGGTGCTTCTTCCAGGTCTCCAATGCGGGCACAGGGGCCCAAGCACTTGGGCCATCCTCCACTGCCTTCCCAGGCCACAGTAGACAGCTGGACTGGAAGAGGAGCAACCGGGACTAGAACCCGGCGCCCATATGGGATGCCGGCGCTGCAGGCGGAGGATTAACCAAGTGAACCACGGCACCGGCTCTGAAAAGGATTAATTTCTAAGCCAGGGTACTGAGATGTTTGCATCATTGTTTTTATAATTAAAATTTTATTAGTTTATTTGAAAGGCAGAATGACAGAGGGAGAGATTTTTCATCTTTGGTTCACTTCCCAAATGGCTGGGGATTGATCAGGCTGAAGCCAGGAGCCAGGAGCTTCTGGGTATCCCACATGGGTGCAAGGGCCCAAGTACTTTGGCCATCTTCTCCTGCTTTTTCCCAGGCCATTAGCAGGGAGCTGGATTGGAAGTGGAGTATCTGGTATTTGAACTGTCCCTCATATGGGATGCTGGTGTCATAGGCTGCAGCTTAACCCACTGTACAACAGTGCCAGCCTTGATTTAAACTTTATTTTATTTTATTTTATTTTATTTTTAGAAAATGTATTTAAGTGGCAGATGGAGAGAGACAGAAGAGAGAGCTCCTGTCTGCTTCCCAGGTGCTCACAGTGGCTGGAGCTGGGCCAGTTGGAAGCTAGGAGCTGGGAATTCAGTACATGTTTCCCATGTGGGTGGCAGCAACCCAACTTGAGCCATCACCTGCTGCCTTCTAGGGACTGTGTTCACAGGAATCTGGAGTCTTGGTAGAGCTGCGACTCAAACCAGGCACTCCAGTACAGAATGTGGGTATCCCGGCAGCATCTTAACTGTTAAACCACACACCCCACCAAAAATGACTGTTGACAGTGAAAAAACCTAGAGGGTATGATCTTTTTTTTTTTTTCTTTCAAGATTTGTTTATTTATTTGAAAGGTAGAGATGGGGGGGCGGCGAGTGGAGAGAGAGAACCATCTGTTGGTTCACTCCCCAAATGGCCATAATGGTCAGGGCTGGGCCAGGCCAAAGCTAAGAGCCAGGAGCCTCATCCTGGTCTCCCTCTGGGTGCACGGGTCCAAGTACTTGGGCATCTTCTTCTGCTTTCCTGGGCACATTAGCAAGGATCTGGATTGGAAGTGGAGCAGCTGGGACTGGAACCGACGCCCACATGGGAAGCCGGCACTGCAGGTGGAGGCTTGCCCTTCTGTGCCACAGTGCCAGCATACAACCTTTACTAAGATTTCACTACAACTGGAACAAACTGATAAGTGTCTCATGATGTGATGCACTTATGTAGGATTGCTGCCAAAATGTATGTTCTGAATGTATTTATGAGGAAACATCAGAGTAAGCAAAAGGAGAACATTCCCCAGAGCTGGCCTTTATTCTTTAAACATGTCGATTTCATGGACATCTTATTTCCATGGTGGAAAGCATGCATTTATCTGTTATCCTTTTTTATTGGCCACAATATACCTCTACAGTAATTTAATCAATTCTCTGTTGATGATTTTAGTTTTATTGTAGTTTTTTGCTGTATTGTGAACTGGGTGGTGAATATCCTTCTTCATTTGTCTCTTAGTATTATGTGTGACACTAGTGCTGTTATTTCCTCAGGGTAGAGTCTTAGCTGTGAGATTGCTGTGTCTAAGGCTGTGTGTTTTTTGTGTATTAATAACACGATGAGACAGACTTCCTGAAAGCTGTCATTCTCTTCAATTTAGGAGACCTGTTTGTGGGTCAGACATTTTAACATTTCCTTTAATCCTGTGATTCCAGCTTAATAACGGTGAAACTGACCATTCTTTTTTTTTTTTTTTTTTTTTTTTAAAGTCATAATGCTTTTGTTGTTCTTTCTGATTCAGCTTTCAAAAGCAGTCCGTCTCCATGGCCATGAAGGACCTGTTTATGCGGTACATGCTGTTTATCAGAAGGGTGCATTGGATACTGCACACGACACACTCATAGTTTCTGCAGCGTCAGATTCCACTGTTCGACTTTGGTCTAAAAAGGATTCAGAAAGTAGGTCTGGAGACATACTAATCTAGACAACTGAAATATCAATTGTTTGTTTCTTTTGTACTTTAAAAAAGCTCCTCTACACGAAACTGTTTGGAAATATAAATTACTTCTTTTTTCATATGAGTCTTTTGTTCTCTGTAAGCTTATTAGAGTTTGGCCACTTCATTTTAAAGGGTCTGTGGGAGCTCAGGACTGATTTTTCCCATCTCCCTGACAACTTATAGGCTGCAGTGATGCCACCCTACCTCTAAATAAGCTCAGGGAGAGTTCGTGGTCTTTTTTTTTTTTTCTTGTTTCTTAGTAATGTGCCTTCAGACCTTGGACTTTGAAAATGGATTCGCTCTGGCTCTCTGCTTATCTTTTTTGCCTGATACTAATGGTGAGTATCTTGCTCAATATTTATTATACTTATTAAAAGAGTACTATATTTGCATATGTCCAAACGACCAGAACCGACAAGAAATGTATTAGGTCTTAATTTGTATCTAAACATGAAACAAGTTGAGATTTGGAGAACATACTTTTGTTCCATGGTGCTGGCCTTGTAGCAGCTCTTTGGATGGGTTCATGCTCACTGGTGTGAATGCTCCCTTTTGCTCTTGAGCTTCTTTCTCCCTGCCTTCTGTCATAAATGACGTGGAATGGAGAGGAGCACTCTTAGTTGATCCATAGTCATTATTTGCCAAGTAGCCGTTGAGTATAACATTTTAGAGTGTTCAGTTTATTGCTAGAGAAATTTATTTATTGAGTACTTTGATTTATTTGTTCACTGGGGTGGGAAATAAAAGCAGTCAGGATTCTTTTTTTTTTTTTTTTTTTAAGATTTATTTTGTTTATTTGAAAGTCAGAGTTACACAGAGAGAGGAGAGGCAGAGAGAGAGAGAGAAGTCTTCTGTCCAGTGGTTCACTCCCCAGTTGGCCGCAATGGTCTGAGCTATGCTGATCTGAAGCCAGGAGCCAGGAGCTTCTTCCGGGTCTCCTGCATGGGTGCAGGTGCCCAAGGACTTGGGCCATTTTCTACTGCTTTCCCAGGCCATAGCAGAGAGCTGGATGGGAAGTGGAGCAGCCGGGTCTCGAACCAGCACCCATATGGGATGCTGGCGCTTCAGGCCAGGGTGTTAACCTGCCATGCCACAGCGCCCGGCCCCACAGTCAGGATTCTTTACCTAGAGCTTAGAAGCCAGTGTAGGTGCTAATCAACATATGGTGGAATAATCACAGGGAAGCCTGTTTCTCCCCCCAGTACCAATATTGGCGTGTGGTGATGATGACTGCAGAATTCACTTGTTTGTTCAACAAAATGACCAGGTAACTAATTCTGTTTATTAAGAGTCTAGGATTTTCTGTTTATTTACATATTTTTTTAAAGATTTATTTATTTATTTGAAAGTCAGAGTTACACAGAGAGAGAAGGAGAAGCAGAGAGAGAGAGAGAGATTGAGGTCTTCCATTCGCTGGTTCACTCCCCAATTGGCTCAACGGCCAGAGCTGAGTCAGTCCGAAGCCAGGAGCCACAAACTTCTGGGTCTCCCATGTAGGTGCAGGGGCCCAAGGAGTTAGACCATCATCTGCTGCTTTCCCAGGAGTATTAGCCAGGAGCTGGATCGGAAGTGGAACAGCTGGGACTTGGACTGATACCCATAGGATATGCTAGTGCTGCATGCTAGGGCTTTAACCCTCTGCGCCACTGCAAGTTAGCTTTTATATCATGAGATTCTTTTCATTCCCAAATGAGTACTTTATCCTATATCTATTCAAATAGTGTTTCCAGTAAAATTGATGCAGTAGCACTGGCTGAGACCGAATGAAATCACTGATATACTTCAAGCCCAGTGATTTTTATCATCTTGCTAGTTTCAGAAAATGCTTCTTCTCTGTGGACACGAGGATTGGATAAGAGGCGTGGAGTGGGCATCCTTTGGTCAGTATGAAATTTTGCTAAAGCATGTATAGTGGAGAGAAATGTGTGTAATGTCCAAGAGAGCAGCCTCTTGCTTTAATTTATAAGTTTCCTTGTTACATTTTTCTGTTGTCCCAGTTAGAAAAAGGATATTTATCCCCTCTGTTAACTATTAATTGGGTGGTAGAGGATGAAACAAACTTGTATTTATTTATAAGGTAATGCTAGCTGAATTGTCCACATACAAACATTTTTTTAAATTTCCTTGTAGAACTTAGTAGACTGTTTATAAGAGTACTGCATGTTATAACATTTATTTATTTGTAAGTGTTGAATTTGTGTTTATCAATGTTACAACAAAGGAACACAGGTCAGATGAATGAAGGGTAAGGCAACAGTTTTTTTTTCCCTTGGAATCTAGAAATGTGCATAATATAGAAGAGAAAGACTTATATTTAAGAATACCATGTTTTAAAATTAATAAAATTTATTTTTTAATTAGGTAGTGATCTTTTCCTAGCAAGCTGTTCGCAAGATTGCCTGATAAGAGTATGGAAGCTCTATATGAAATCAACATCTTCAGGAACTCAGGATGATGACACTATAAGGCTGAAGGAAAATACTTTTACTATAGAAAATGAAAGTGAGTAATAATAGAAACATTTGATGTAACAATACTTAAGTCGTCTAACTGGTTCATTTATCTATTTTACTGCACTTTTCTGTAAGGTTAGTTTTTCAAAATTGTCAAATCCCTACGTGAAACCAATACTATACATTTTTCTGTGAGGATGAATCTTTTTTTTTTAAAGATTTATTTTGTTTATTTGGAAGAGTTCCAGAGAGAGAGAGAGGGGTCTTCCATCAGTTGGTTCACTCCCCAAATGGCTACAATGGCCAGAGCTGAGCCAGTCTGAAGCCAGGAGCAGGGTGCTTCTTCCAGGTCTCCTATGTGGTTGCAGGGGCCCAAGGACTTGGACCATCCTCTGCTGCTTTCCCAGGTGCATTAGCAGGGAGCTGGATTGGAAGTGGAGCAGTTAGGACTTGAACTGGCACCCATATGGGATGCCAGCACTGCAGGCCCAGGCTTTAAGCCTCTGTGCCACAGCTCTGGCCCCTGAATTTTTTTTTTAAAGTTTATTTATTTTTATTTATTTGAAAGAGTGAGGGAGAGGGAAAAAGAGAGATCTTCCATTTGATGGTTTACTCCTCAAATGCCCACAATAGTTAGGTTTGGACCAGGCAAAAGCCACTAGCCAAGAGGTTCATCTGGTTTTCACACATGGGTGTCAGGGACCCAAGTGCTTGAGCCATCATCTTTTGCCTGCCAGTGTGCACACCAGCAAGAAATTGGATTGGAAGCAGAGGCAGGACTCAGTCCCTTGTACTTTGATAAGCAATGTGTGCATAGCAAATGGCAGCTTAATTTGCTTTACCACAGCTCCTGCCCCAAGAGTAAGTCATTTTTCATTTATTAAACATATTTTTCATTTAACCTTATTAGTAAGAGTTTTTTAAATTGCTAAAAAGTAATATTTAATGTTTCTCAATAATTTAGTTTATAAAATGGTACTAAAATTGTAGTTTTAGCATAGGATGACCTAAAGGAGCAATGTGAATTATTTATCTTTTTGTTGGAATACATTCATGAGACATGCCAAATCCCTATTCTTGAATAGTATATGTACTTCTGATTTCCTGATTGGCATTAAAGCAGTACTCCTATGTGGTAGATCCTGTTGGAGTCTCCTATTTGAAGGAGGTTTTGGGGGAATATGTATCTGAATTACACAGTCTTTTTTTTTTTTTCTTTAAGATTTTATTTGTTTATTTGACAGGTAGAGTTACAGACAGCGAGAGAGAGAGAGAGAGAGAGACAGAGAGAAAGGTCTTCCTCCCATTGGTTCACTCTCCAAATGGCTGCAATGGCTGGGGCTGCGCCCATCTGAAGCCAGGAGCCGGGTGCTTCTTCCTGGTCTCCCATGCGGGTGCAGGGACCCAAGCACTTGGGCCATCTTCCACTGCTATCCCGGGCCACAGCAGAGAGCTGGGCTGGAAGAGGAGCCACTGGGGCTAGAACCAACACCTATATAGGATGCTGGCGCCGCAGGCAGAGGATTAACCAAGTGCACCTTGGCACCAGCCCCCCACAGTTAGTCTTTAGCAAGCATTGTTCATATCAGTAAACTGTTTTTTTTTTTTAATAAAGATTTATTTATTTATTCAAAAGTCAGAGTTACACAGAGAGAGGAGCAGCAGAGTGGGGGCGGGGGAGGATCTTCCATCCACTGGTTCACTCCCCAGATGGCTGCAATGGCCAGAGCAGCACCAATCTGAAGCCAGGAGCAGGAGCTTCTACTGGGTCTCCCATGCGGGTCCAGGGGCCCAAGGACTTGGGCCATTCTCTACTGCTTCCCTAGGCCATAGCAGAGAGCTGGATGGGAAGTATAGCAGCTGGGTCTCGAACCAGTGCCCATTTGTGATGCCGGCACTTCAGGCCAGGGCTTTAACCCACTGCACCACAGCACTGGCCCCCAGTAAACTGTTCTTTGTTACTATAACTCATCTTGGTTATAAAGCTCATTAGTTGACATTTCAGTAACACAGTTTTAAGGGGAGAACCAAGAAATGATTTAATCAGCTTGCTGAGTATAAACTGTACCCAAATACAAATTTTTTTTTGCTATTTTCATTAATTGATTTGAAAGATCGAAGTATTTATTTTTTGTTTCTTTTATTTCTGCATTTATCTTATGTTTCTTTAAACGGTATTTTAGGCTATTACATCCTGATAATGAATGAGGCTCACAAAGAGTCTGACATGTCTGGTTTTGCTTTTTAATTGCAGTGTAAAAACAGTTGTTTTGATGATTTGGAAAATACATTGTGTTTCTTAACATTTGTGACCAGCAAAAAGTGTAGAGAAAATTTTATTTTTAGAACTTTTCATCATGTGATTTTATTTATTTTTTGTTTTTTTACTTTTATGGCCTGTAATTTCAAACAGTGAATGAGGTTAATGAAATTTAGAATGCACGCTGTTTTTGTTGACCTTGTCATGTTTTATTCTAATTTCTGTTTATGTAATTGGACAATTGGTTTAGCTGTGAAAACGTTCTTTTTTAGAAGAACTTTGAGGGAAAAAAATCCCTTCATGCTTTTGTTCTAGGCATTAAGACAGCATTTGCGGTTACTCTGGAGACTGTGCTAGCTGGTCACGAAAACTGGGTAAATGCAGTCCACTGGCAGCCTTCATTCTACAAAGGTAGGAAGAAGATGCCGACCTGTCCCTTAGATCTAACCAGACGAAGTGGAGGGTGTGTTTTTTTTGATATGGTCAGAAATCTCAAATACAAGATGTTTTTAAGTTGGCAAGTACAACAGCTACATTCCTGGTGTTCTGGACACTCAGTTCCACCGAAAAGTACCTTGTAACTGGGGAAGATATGATTCTTGCCATGATGCCAAAACTGCCACACCCCCAGTAACTCTTTCTCAAAGTTTTCACCTTGTCATAAAGAGATTTTTAAAACTATCGACTCTCAAACCAACTTCATTGGTAACTTTACCATTAGTAATACAATCATTAATACTGAGCTACATTATTTATGAAAAAGCAGGACTCTCTCTGCCTATCTTTTTTTTTTTTTTTTTTTTTTTTTTAAGAGAGATTTGTTTGTTTGAGAGGTTTTCCCAGGTCATTAGCAGGGAGCTGGGTTGGAAGTGGAGCAGCCAGGACTTGAACTGGCACCAATATAGGATGCGGGTGCCTCAGGCAGAGGCAGAGGCTTAACCTACTATGTCACAGCGCCAGCCCCTCTGCCCTTTGTTTCACCCTCAGCCTCCATTTGTGGAGTGGTGGTTCTGTGCTAGCCCACGCTGGGGCAGGTTGCGGAGCTGAGCAGAGCATGGCATCACATTCTTCCCCAGCTCCTTCCCCAAGACAAGAATGGCAGTCAGCAGTCAGCTCCTATTTCATTGTGCTGCAGTTTTATTTCGTTTTTTAAGTAAACTGGGTACTGTAGGAGTGGAGAAGAATCCACCCTTCTTTGGAACCTCCTCTAGAGGCAGCTACAGTACTGAGCTCAGGACATATCATTCCCAGCATGTCTTTATATTTTATTACACATTTGTGCAGCCACAAATAGTATTGTTTCACAATGATCCAAACCTGATTATCAATAAGTATTTATCATTTTACAATTTACCTTTTTAGCTTAACATATTTTAGGCAGATGTGTCCATGTTGATTCATGTAGCTTTTGTAATTTATTTTTATAGCACTACAACATTCCATTGTCTGAATTTACCGCAACTTATGTATCTGTTCTTTCTGTGATAGACCTATGTGTTTGCACATATTTGCTATTACAAATAATGCTGCAAGTGCCCATGTTGTTTTCTTCTGATAATCTATGAATACAGTGCTTATTGGTCACCTAAGAGGCATTAGTTTTTATTCTTTAGATGGTGTTCTACAGCATCCAATGAGATTGTTGTCTGCCTCAATGGATAAAACCATGATTCTGTGGGCTCCAGATGAGGAGTCAGGAGTTTGGCTGGAACAGGTAAAACTACTGCTGTTTAAGGAACAGAAAATTGAGTTTTACTAACTGGATATTAAATCCTGACTCTGTATTCCTAGAGGTACAAATTTTCACTCTTTGTGTACCTTAAGTGAGTGGGGATTCAGCAGTCTCTGGAATTAATGATTTCCATATTGAGAATTGTTTTCTGTCTATTTTTGTATAGGTTCGAGTAGGTGAAGTAGGTGGGAATACTCTAGGATTTTATGATTGCCAATTCAATGAAGATGGTTCCATGATCATTGCTCATGCTTTCCATGGAGCATTGCACCTTTGGAAACAGAATACAGTTAACCCGGTAAGAATAGTATTTATAATTTTTAAAAATTCAAAACAGAGGAAGAGACAGACAGCGTTCCCATCTGCTGGTTTACTCCCCAAGTCAGGAGCTGGAAACTCAGTTCTGGTTTCTCATGTGGGTGACAGGGACCAAACTATGGGGACCATCCCCACTGCTTCCCAGGGTCTGCACTGGTAGTGGGCTGAAGTTGGGAACAGAGGCAAGAATTGAACTTATACATTATAAAAAGGGATGCAAGCATCCCAACTTTTTTTTTTTAAGATTTATGTATTTGGTGGGGACAGTTAAGGAGAGAGAGGAAGAGACTGAACAAGAGAGATCTTCCATCTGCTTAGTTCACTCGCCCACTGACCTCAACAGCTGAGACTGGGCCAGCCTGAAGCCAGGAACCAAGGAGATTCTTCTGGGTCTCCTATGTTGGTGCAGAGGCCTAAGCACTTAGGCCATCTTCTGCTGCTTTACCAGGCACATTGGCAAGGGAGCTGTATCGGAAGTGGAGCAGCCAGGACTTGAACCAGCACCCATGTGGGATGCTGGTGTTGCAGGCAGCTGCTAAACCCACTATACCATAATGCCAACCACCCAAGCTGCTTCTTAACCACTATGCCAAATGCCTGTACCAGAAAAGTGCTTTTAAATAAAGCATTTCTAATCCAAAACAGTGAATCCTAATGGAAACCTAGCATACTATTTACTTAGTATCACTGTGCAAAAACATAACAGAGGCATTTAAGTGACAACACTTATTTCTGTAGATTTTATACTGTATTTACACTCAGTAAAAACGAAGCTTTTCTAAAAGTATTTACTTTTGCACTATTGTTGAAGTATCAAGTGATACTGAGTTAATATTCGTATAGTACGAAAACCATGGCCTGACACATAATGGATGTTTTATAAATTAAAGAAATAAGAACATTGAATGAAATGTGGCTCAGCAGATTCTGAATGTGCATCTGATGGCTTTAAAAAGTCACACTTCATAGAGTTCCATAACTTAGTTTGTAGTCTTTGTGGAAGTCATTTCACCTGTAAGGTTGTGACTTGTTAAATTTTGCGGGTAGGTTACTCTTTCTCTTGTGTCCTCCTATTGGACTTGACCTTCAAGATTATTTCCACTGTCAAATGAACCAATCAGTCATTAGCTATGATATTTTTAGAGTAACAAATATTTGTAAAGATAAATTTTGTTTCTTTAATTCAGGTCGTCTTTGTAGGCCTTAATAGAAAAAAAGCATCAGATGAATAAGGAGAAAGAATTTTGCTTTAATTGTGCTTATAATTTGACTTAGCAAGTATTGATGTGATTTGATTTATAAGTAGACGTTTTTAGAGCAGTTTTAGGATAATAACCAAATGAGCACAAAGTACAGAGAGTGCCACATAACCTCACGGCTGTGTGCATGTAGCCTTCCCCACTGTCAACATCCCTCACCCAAGGGATACATTTGTTACAGTCAAGACTGGTTTTTTTTTTTTTTTTTTCACCAAGCAACATGGAACTTTTATTTTTAACATGACTTCTGTACATGAGGAGTATGAGAGTATTCCGTTTACAAATGGAATTGATTTTACTAGAAGAAACAATCAAACCAAACCAGTATTTGATGTGAATCCATATGAGTTTAAGCTTCAAATCCTGCCAAGAAGTTTGTTACATACAATCTCCTTCAGCTTGGCATCTGACTCTTCTGAGATCTTCCCGTTGGTCCTGATATTGCCAACAGGGCTTGATGTTAGCTGACAACATGTGACAAGAAAGCATTCTCAAATTTTGTTGATAAATTGGAGCCCAGCAAGACTTGTTTTTAAAAAGCAAGGATTGCCCTTTAGTACTGTTATGGTGGCGAACTATTATTAGTCCAAACGTGCTCTGCATTGCTCAGAACTTTTTGTAAATGCCCTTTAATGCTAATTTTAGAATAGTTTTTGTGTCACAGAGGAAATTAATATGATTTCTTTGAAACAGCCCTTTTATTTTCTTTTGGCCAGAAATAGCATAGTTTAATCACTGACTGTATTCATCAGACTTGGCATTGAATGATCTGTTCACTATTCATACAAATGTAGTTCTCCTCTAAAGGTCAAAATTTTTTATTTTGAAGTTTTATTTATTTATTTGAAAGGCAGGATGACAGAGAGAGAGGGAGAGATACACGTAGAGAGTGAGAGAGAGAGAGAGAGTGATTGATCCTCCATCTGCTGGTTCATTCCCCAAATGGCTACAATAGCTGGGGCTGGATCAGGTCAAAGCTGGGGGCCCAAGCACCTTGGCCATCATCTGCTGCTTTCCCAGGAGCAATATCAGGTAACTGGGTCAGAAGCAGAACAAGGGGACTGGTGTGGTGGCCTAGCCAGTAAAGCCACCGCCTGCAGTTTCAGCATCCCAGATGGGCAGTGATTCGACTCTTGGTTGCTCCACTTCCCATCCAGCTCCTTGCTAGTGCACCTGGGAAAGCAGCAGAGGACAACCCAAGTGCTGGGGTCCCTGCACCCACGTGAGAGACCAGAGGAAGCTCCTGCCTCCTAGCTTCAACCTGGCCAACCCCTGGGCCATTATGGCCATCTGGGGAGTAAACCAGTGGATGGAAGATCTCTCTGTCTCTCCCCCACCTCTCGATAACTCTGCCTTTCAAATAAGTAAAATAAATTATTTTTTAAAAAAAGAAAACAAAGCAGAAGAAGAAGTCTAACTGGAGCTTTGATATGGGATGCTGGCATCAAAAGTGGTGGCTTAACTTGCTGTACCACAACACTGGCCCTTAAAGGTTAAGCTTTGCCACCACCCAAGGTTGTTCAAAAAGATACTCTGTGAACCAGGCAAGTTTTCTGTATTTTGCTGTCATTGATTGTTTATGTGGTTGCTTTTGCAGGCTCCTTTGTAGATGGACCAACTAAGTTATTTTTTTTTTAAAGATTTATTTATTTATTTGAAAGTCAGAGTTACACAGAAAGGCAGAGAGAGAGAGAGAGAGAGAGAGAGGTCTTCCATCTGCTGGTTCACTCCCCAATTGGCCGCAAGGGCCAGAACTGCACCGATGAGCTTCTTCCTGGTCTCCCATGTGGGTACAGGGGCCCAAGGACTTAGGCCGTCTTTCCTGTTTTCCCAGACCATCAGCAGGGAGCTGGATTGTAAGTGGAGCAGCCAGGTCATGAACCGGCACCCATATGGGATGCCGGCACTGCAGGCGGCGGCTTTACCTGCTATGCCACAGTGCTGGCCCCTGGACCAACTAGGTTTGATTTAACCTTTAGTCCTTTACACCTGTAACTCATTTTATTTAATAAGGAAAGCCATTGGTCCACACTCAGTCAGCTGACTCATTTTACACAGCACTTTTTCTTTAGTGTTTAGTTTAACAAATACATAGTACTTAGTATTTGCTGACATTCTTCTGTATACTTTGAGTATAAACTGATTTAATCTTCCCGACAGCCCAATGAGGTGGGTGCTGTTATTGTAACACTGTTTTACAGAACAGTTCATCAAAATATGCAAGGCTGAAATCATGTCTGGCTGCTAAGAGACATTCAGATGAACGAAGGGAACTTCACAAGGTTCTGCTTTATTTATTTTAAAGATCCACTTTATTCACCTGAAAGGCAAAGTTACAGAGAGAGAGGAGAGACAGAGAGATCTTCCATCCACTGGTTCACTCCCCAAATTGCCACAATGGCTAGGGCTGGGCCAGGCAGAAGTAAGGAGCCAGGAGCTCCCTCCAGGTCTCCCACATGGGTACAGGGGCCCAAGAACTTGGGCCATCTTCCACTGCTTTCCCAGGTGCATCAACAGGGAGCTGGATCAGAAGTAGAACAGCCAGGTATCAAACCACTGTCCATATGGGATGCTTGCATTGCAGGCGGCAGATCAACCATCTGTGCCACAATGCCGGCCTCAAGGTTTTTTTTTTAAAGGATATAATGTATTTGGGAATATCTATGTTTTCTTACGGTTGATTGGAAAATGACCCTAATGTTTTATGGTCCCATCTTGTATACTTAGCTTTTCATCTTGCTAGGAGGCTTCATTCAGTCTTGCTGTTGGACATGAGTACTTTATTTTGAGTGGTGGAGTCTGATTATTTTGATATGTGTCATGAACTTTCATTGCAGAGGGAGTGGACTCCAGAGATTGTCATTTCGGGACACTTTGATGGTGTCCAGGACCTAGTGTGGGATCCAGAAGGAGAATTTATTGTCACCGTCGGTACTGATCAGACAACACGACTTTTTGCTCCCTGGAAGAGAAAAGGTGAATCTCAGGTAAAATGCCATCCTACTGGCTCTTTAAAATGCCTTTGTGAGCACATGGAGAGTGGCAGCAGGAAAACCTTGGACAAGGGTGCAGTAACAAGTATTTACCTTACAGAGGGTACAGTAACAAATACTGACAATAAGCAGTGCCAGTAAGGATGCAGGATAACCACAGCTTTCAGACATTGCTAGTGGGAATGCAAAATGACAGCCATTCTGGGCAGTAGTTTGGCATTTTCTTAAAAACTTAAACATAACACCTACTCTTTGTATAATGCGAACAGTAATTCAGATGTTTTTTGTCAAAATGGATGCATGTCTGTTTCCTGTTAAAGTGCTGTGTCTTGTGGTCAAAACAATCACCATAAAGCTTTATTGCTAGTAAGCCATTGAGCTCCTGTGTGGTAGAGAAAACCAGGATCCTCGGCCTTAGTATTAGACAAAATTTCGCAGCGTTGGCTATGGCTCAGTCCGTGAGAGCTAATGAGATTTGATGCTGACATTACTGCTTTGATAATACATGATAGATTCAGATGAATGAAGTTGAGCACATTTGTAGAAACACCTATAGTCAACTAAAAACCAAGTCAAATGATTTGGAGTGGTTTCCCATGAATCTTAGTGATTTGATGCTGATACTGCCTAGTTGTTTATGAATGAATTTGCCTTGTGATCATAGCTTCATAGTAGTAAGTTTGCATCTCATGTTTTGCTAAATGAAAATAATTTGAGTTTTTAAAAGTGTTCCTTTTTTTTTTAAACTTTTTTTAATACCTAGGTGACTTGGCATGAAATTGCAAGGCCTCAGATACATGGTTATGACCTGAAATGTTTGACAATGATTAATCGGTTTCAGTTTGTGTCTGGAGCAGATGAAAAAGTTCTTAGAGTTTTTTCTGCACCTCGGAATTTTGTGGAAAATTTTTGTATCATTACAGGACAATCACTGAATCAAGTACTTTGCAATGTGAGTATTCCCCCCCAATGTTTTATTTAAATTGGTCAAATTATTTTGAATGTAAAAAATTTGTATGTCAACCTGCAGGTGTATTATAAGGTTAGAAAGGGAAGCATATCAGCTGTTATTTGTTTGACAAACTTTTTGTGTGCCCTGTGATATTTAGTTGTTTAAATGTTGAAATCAGAAATTTGTTTAACAAATGAGTTCAAGACACTGTCAGGCCTTTTTTAAAAAAGGATTCTGTTCTCTTTGTTTCTAATAAAGACAATGGGAATGAGAATGATGGTTGGACATATGGGGAGGGGGCAGATAATTTTGGGATCTCTTCAGTTCTGGGGATTGAAATGAGATTTTATAGGATTCTTTGAAAGGAATGGTCTAGGTACTCCTCAGTTCTGTGACCCAAGATACAGGAATCCTGCAGAATCTTGCTCTCCTTGGGGTTTTACTCCCATTCTAGGTGTTGGGATAGGCATATAGGAATGCTGCCTATCACTCTTTTTCATGCTTTTTATTTTTCTTCGTGTCTGAGATAAAGCATGCTTTGTTGATAGTGATTTAAATCGACATTGCTCATGTTTGTGTCTAGTTATGGCCCCCATATGGAACACTCTCAGCAAATGGGCCTGTGGCCATTTTGATGTTTAGCATATGTCTTCACATGGGATAACTTGAAAACTCTGAAAGTCTTAGGAAGTTTTAAAATACAGTTTTGGGTTACTAAAATATGTTTGATGCAAATATTACGTGTTTTGGGGAAATGTCTGGGTTGTTTGTTTGTTTTTATTTGAGAGGTAGAGTTACAGACAGTGAGAGGGAGAGACAGAGAGAAAGGTCTTCCTTCTGTTGGTTCACTCCCCAAATGGCCGGAGCTGTGCCGATCCGAAGCCAGGAGCCAGGTGCTTCTTCCCAGACTCCTATGCGAGTGCAGGGGCCCAAGGACTTGAGCAATCTTCCGCTTTTTCAGGCCATAGCAGAGAGCTGGATCGGAAGAGGAGCAGCTGGGTCTCGAACCCGCGTCCATATGGGATGCTGGCACCGCAGGCGGAGGATTAACCTACTGCGCCACAGTGCCGACCCCAGGGAAATGTCTGTGTTTACACGAGCATTCCAGGGTTGTGCCCGTGATACTCTCTTGGAAGGAGAGCTCTAAATCTTCCATTTTCAGGCTGCTGCATTCCTTGCCAGACCCTGAAACCCATTGAGCTGTTAGGGTTTGATGAGCTCATAGATAACAGGATACCTACTTTATGGGTGGTTGGGATTTGGGGTTAGGTAGGGCCTAGCTCTTGAGAGTACATTGCATTTGTTGGTTCAGGAAGTGCAGGTGCAGGCAGACATCCACACTAAGTGGTCTTTATTTCTTAGCGTTTATGAGTGCAATGTTTTTGTAGTGCTTGGGGTAATAGTAACTTATAGTGTTTAAAACTTACATATTCTTTTCATTCTAGCAAGATGATGATCTTCCAGAAGGAGCCACTGTCCCTGCATTGGGATTATCAAATAAAGCTGTCTTTCAGGGTAAGTCTTTAGTCTCCAAAATTACTGAACCTGTAGTGATACTCAAAACCCAATATAATATGTATATATTAGATAAAATGTATACCTAAGGTTTGATGCAGCTGATTTTTTAAATTAATTAATTTATTTGAAAGGTAAAGTTATAGAGAGAGGGAGAAATAGATCTTCCATCCACTGGTTCACTCCCTAAATGGCTGCAACAGCTAGGACTGAGTAGGGCTGAGCTAGGAGCTTCATTGAGGTCTCCTATGTGGATGCAGGGGCCCAAGTACTTGGGCCATCTTCTGCTGCTTTTTGAGGTCATTAGCAGGGAGTTGGATTGGAAGTAGAGCAGCTAGGCCTCAAACTGGTGCCTGTATGGGATGGTAACATAACAGGTGGAGGCTTAACTCCCTGTGCCACAACACCAGCCCCCAATTTTTTTTACATAATTGCAATACATGCATTGATTTTCCATAAATATTTCATGATAAGTACCTGTGTACACAGACCACTGAAATAGGTGCACCCTTCCCAGTGTATGATTCATGAAACACAAACACAGGTGTCAACATGGGTAACATGAAGGATCTATTGTGCAGTTTTGTTTTTTTTTTAAAGATGTATTTTATTTGAAAGGCAAAATTACAGAGAGAGGGAGAGAGATTTCTTCCATCCTCTGTTTTACTCCCCAAATGGCCACAACAACCAGGGCTGGGCCAAGCCAAAATCAGAAGGTGAGAACTCCATTCTGGTCTCCCACATGGGTGGCAGGTGCCCAAGTACTCAGGTCATCCTCTACTGCTTTCCCAGGCTCAGTAGGAGAGAGCTAGATCTGAAGTGGAACAGCCAGGACTTGAAGTGGTGCTCACTTGGGATGCTAGTATTGCAGGTGGCAGCTTAACTTGCTGTGCCACATGCTAGCCTTGTGTTGCATGGTTTTAAATATTTGGGAACTGTTAAGTAAAAGACAATTGAAAGAATTTTTAAAATATTGACTAATGCTGCAAGGAACATATTTGGAAAATACTGGGTAGTAGAAATACCCTTGGCTTTGAAATCACACGGACTCTGCTTTGAATTATACCACTTTGGAGTGTCACTGCTTTCTAACTGGTGACCTTAATATTGAAACAGTATAGGAGGTAGTCATTGAAGTTGATGTGTTTCTTTAGGAGATATAGCTTCTCAGCCTCCTGATGAAGAGGAGCTGTTAACCAGTACTGGTTTTGAGTATCACCCAATGGCCTTTCAACCCTCTCTACTTACTGGTAAGAAATGATAAAACACTAGTACACAATAAGGTATCTGATACTGCTGACCTAAGTATGTGCTATAGAACTTACTGTTTCATTTGGATGGAAATAGAAAAAATAATTGAAATACTGTATATTAATTATAGAACCTCCCACTGAGGATCATCTTCTGCAGAATACTTTGTGGCCTGAAGTTCAAAAACTGTAAGTTAAACTGTGCTTAGCTCTGATTCTATCATAACTTGGGACATTCACTGCCCCCAGTATACACACAACTTGATTTTTTTCCCTTTGCTTTCCTCCTACCTACATTTTAATCCTTCTGTAGATCTTTTAGTGGCTCTTCATAAGGGTGGAAATCAAATTAAACATTGATTTTTATATTATTTGTTAGGTTTACTTATTGATCTCAATATTAAAAGTAGAGACACAACAGATTTTTTTTAAAGATTTTTAAGTTTTGTTATTTTAAATTTTGTGTTGTCATCGTCAGTGTTTCCCCATTAAAACCTGTCCGTGGTTTATGGTTTGTTGTCGTTTGAATGAATTGTATTACCTCTTGGTGAATTGATGTTTTCTCTATCTCCCTGTTTTTGTTCCCCAAATATTTGCCTAGACAAAAATACAATGTTCCTTAAGATAATTATATGTTGGCTAGAGAGGTTGATGTTATCCTTTTTGCTTTGTAAAATTTTGCAGCATGAGATTAGGTACTATTACTAATATGTACAGAGATTATGCATTTTCTCTCTTTACTCTTTAAATTTTAGATATGGACATGGTTATGAAATATTTTCTGTTGCTTGTAACAATGCAAAGACTCTGCTTGCCTCAGCTTGTAAGGTAGGGAATTTTCCTTTTGATTCTACTTGGTCACAGGTTATTTGGATCATCTGGCTCCTCCAAGTTTGCTAGTGGTGGAGACAGTATTCTGTGTGAAAGGCTACTGATACCTGCTCTCTCTGAATCTTTCTCAATCTCTCTTTCCCTTCTGACCCTTCTAAAGCTTGTATTTGCATTTTAAATCTATTTCAAAGCTGCATATTTTTATTCTTAAATACTCAATTGGAGCTGATTTATACCCCTGCTCAAAAATTATTTTAATCAGGTATCTTAAAATGAATGATATCTAAAAATTTGATTTTAAACAACTGAAACCTTGGAGACAGAGGGAATGAGGAAGAAAGGCCTGAAGTGAAATCCATCAAAGTTTTTATTTTTTTTTAAGAAACTGTTGGCACAAACCTAAGTGAGTAGAGTCCCTTGGCCCATACAAGGGCAACGCAGGGTGGTGACCACATTAGCTGGCCACTGTAGCACAGGACGGTTCTGCATTTGTCCAGGAGAATGATCTTGAACTCAAAATTCAGAATTTATACACATCCTTGGGGGTGACGTAATAAATTACAAAGGGTTGTCTGAAGGATCTAAAACTCAACACATTCCTTTATGTATTTTCTAAAATGTATTTATTTATTTCAAATATGATGGTGAGAGATGCCTATCTATATGGGCCCCTGTGTTCCTGCTTTTGTTGTGGAGGCTGATCTTCCTTGGGAGACATTATAAGAAACAGTGCTGTGTTTCCCTTTCATCCCCCTATACCCTGCTAATAGATTCTGTGAGGAGGACAATGAGAGTGCTATCTTTTTTTAAAAAAAAAAGATTTATTTATTTAGTTGAAAGTCAAAGTTACACAGAGAGAGAAGGAGATGCAGAGAGAGAGGTCTTCCATCCACTGGTTCACTCCCCAGTTGGCTGCAGTAGTTGGAGCTGAACTGATCTGAAGCCAGGAGCTTCTTCCAGGTCTCCCATGTGGGTGCAGGGGCCCAAGGACCTGGGCCATCTTCCACTGCTTTCCCAGGCCATAGCAGAGAGCTGAATCGCCAAGTGTAGCAGCCAGGACTCTAACCATCACTGCAGGTGGCAGGTTTACCCACTGTGCCACAGCACTGGCCCCAGAGAGTGCCATCTTTTACAGAGAACTTTGGGAAGAGTGTGGCTCAGTAGTTCAAATGGCTGTGCTTCTGCTGAGCCACTGATTTGTTTTTAGCTTAAGGTACTATCAATCATGTAATTGATTATTCTTCCCTTTTCAAGTTGGCTTACTTGTACCAAGTATATGCATTTTCCTTTGAAATGAATATTTTTTAACTGCTTGATTTAGGTGTCATTAACAGAAATGGTATGTGTAAAGTGAGCAATTTGATAAGTTTTTAAATATTTATAGCTGTAAAGTTATAAGTGCAATCAAGATAATGAACATATCCTTTGGCCCTCAAAAACTTTGTATGCCCGATGGTGATTCCTCTTTCCCGATCCTTCCTTTTCCCTGCTGACACTAATCCGCTTTCTGTCACGATAGAGTAGCTTGCATTTTCTCAGGTTTCATGTAAGTGGAATCATATGAGGGCACTTCAGAAAGTTCATGAAAATAGAATTCATTGATGGCTTATTTGGGTGCCCCAAAGTTTTGAATTCTGTGCATAGTTTTTCCATAATACACATTTTTCCATGGACTTTTTGAAAAAGTACCCATACAGAGAGTGTACGTTCTTTTTTAGGCTGGCTTCTATCATTCGTCATAATTATTGGGATGTTGTTGCATGTATCAGTAGTTCATTCCTTATGACTGCTGATTTATTCTCACTTGAACAGATACACCACCATTTACCTGTTCACTTAGTAATGGATATCTGGGTTGTTTTGTGTGTTTTGGCTTTTACTGATAGAGCAGTTAGGAACATTAGTGTACAGATCTCCACACAGATGTGTGCTTTCATTTCTCTTGCATACACCTGTGGGTGGAACTGCTGAGTGATGTAGTAGATATATTTCTTAACTTTCTAGACACTGCCAGCCTATTTTTCAGAGTGATTATACATTATACAGCCCCACGAGCGTCAGATTCTCAGTTGTTCTACACCCTCACCACCACTTAGTATGGTCAGATTTTTTAACGTCATCCATTCCAGTAGCTGTGTAATAGTTTACTGTGGCTATAACTGGAATTTCTCTAAAGATGTTGAACATCTTTTCATTGTCTAATTTTCTATTCATGTATCATCTTTGGTAAAATATGTGTTTAAGTCTTTTCCCCATTTTTTTATTGCATTGTTCCCTTATTGCCGAGTTTGGACAGTTTCCTCATGTACACTATATACAACCATGTTAGATATGGGCTTTATATGTAATTCTTCCCAGGGGCTTCCTTTTTCATTGTCCTAATGGTGTCATTTAAAGAGCAGAGATTTTGTATTTTGTTGATGCTCAATTTATCAGTTTTTCCATATTGTTTTTTGTGCTTCATGTTGTACCTAAGAGATCTTTGCCTACCTCAGGTTCACAAGGCTTTTCTTCTGTTTTCTTCCAGGAGTTACACAGACTTTAAGTTTTACATTTAACCTATGAAGCATTTTCAGTTAAATCTCATATTTGGCATAGAACATAGACTGAAGCTGGTTCCCTTTCCCTTGGATTTTTCTTTGTTCTAGTGTCATTTGTTGAAGAGAGTGTTCCCTTTGCCGCAGTACTGCCTTTTGTCCCTCTGTCAAAGTCAGCTGTCAGGACAGGCATTTAGGGTACTGGTAAGAGCCACTTGGAAAGCCACATTCCATCAGGGTGCCTGAGGTTGAGTCAGTTCTGCTCACAGTGCCAGCTTCCTGCTAATGCACACCCTGGGAAGCAGCGGGTAATGGCTCAGGTAGTTGGGTACCTGCCACCCACATGGGAGACCCAGTGGAGTTCTCAGCTTCCAGCTTTGGCCAGGCTGAACCCCACCCCGGTTTTCTTGGGTATTCGGGCAGGTAAACAGTGCCTAGGAGCTCCCTGTCACTTCTTTGTGTCTCTGCCTCCCAAAAAATAATTTAAAATGTCAGCTGTCTATATACATCTGGGTCTATTTCTAGGCTTTATTTTGTTCCATTGATCGTGGTTTTTGGTTTTTTTTTGTTTTTGTTTTTGTTTTTGTTTTTTTTTGAAAGGTAGAGTCATAGACAGTGAGAGAGACAGAGAGAAAGGTCTTCCTTTTCTGTTGGTTCACCCCGCAATGGCTGCTATGGCTGGCACTGCGCCGATCCAAAGCCAAGAGCCATGTGCTTCCTCCTGGTCTCCCATGCGGGTGCAAGGGCCCAAGCACTTGGGCCATCCTCCACTGCCCTCCCAGGCCACAGCAGAGAGCTGAACTGGAAGAAGAACAACCGGGACTAGAACCCAGTGTCCATATGGGATGCCGGCACCACAGGCGGAGGATTAATCAAGTGAGCCATGGCCCCTCCATTGATCGTTTTGATATAATGCTAATACCATACTCTGTTAGAAACCTTGGAATTAAGAAGTAACTGTTTTCCAACTCTCTTCTTACCTTAAGGGGTGATTTTAGTTATATTAGGTTATTTATTTTACATTTTAGCATCAGCTTAACTTAAAGTTTCTACAAAAGTACCTGTAGGAATTTTAACGGAGATTACAGTGAATCTATAGGTTCATTTGAGGGGAATTTTAGCAATATTGGGTATTTTGAAATATGAATGAGATATGCCTCTCATTTATTTGGGTCTTTATTTTTATTAATATGGTGAATTACATTGATTAGTTTTTTAAAAGATAAACTAGTTTTACATTCCTGGAACCAATCCCTGGTTCCTCATACTGCATTATCTTTTTATGTATTGCTGGATTCACTTTGCTAAAATTTTCTTAGCAACTTTTAAATATAATTCATGAGAGATAGTGCTGTGCCATTCTCTTCCCTCCTGTTGGCGTCATCTGATTCTGGCACCAGAGTAATGCTGGCCCCATAGAAATATCTCCTCCTTGAATGGTTTTTGTAGAATTTGCCTTTGTTTAATTTTAGTTAGAATTCTCAAGTAAAGCCAACTAATTCTTAATTCTTTGTGGGATGGTATCTAACAACATAGACATTCTTTAGTAGAAGTAAATAAGGATATTTATCCTATCCAGTTTTTCTTGAGTTCAGGTTGGTAGTTTGCATCTTTCAGGCAGGTTAATCCCATGTGAAATGTCAGATTTACTGGCACAGAGTTATTTGTGACTTTCCTTATGATTTGTTTAATATCTGTGTACTTCCTTATGATGGTCCCTTTCTTGTTGGCAATTTGTGTCTTCTCTCTCCTACCTCCCATCTCCCACTTTTTTTTTTGGTGGTGAGCGGGGCATTTTAGAAAGATAACCATAAGTTGTTGATTTTGTTGATAGTCTCAGAAAGTCAGCAGTCCAGATCGCCTATATTGGTGGCAGGAACCCAACTACTTGAACAATCACTGCTGCCTCCCAGGTCTACATTGGTGGGAAGGTGGAATTGGGAGCCAGGTCTGGGTATTGAACCCAGGCACCTTGATGTGGAACAATATAGAGTAGGTTGTTCCTGTTATTTCATATTCACCAAAAGTGGAAGTCCCCTGAGCTTTTTTTCTTTTTTTTTTTAAAGACTTGTTTATTTGAGTGATGAGAGTGACAGAAAGGGAGGTTGTCCATCGTCTGGTGCGTTCCCCAAAAAAGCAACAGCTAGGGCTGGGCCATGACAAAGCCAGGAGCCTAGAACTCCATGCAGGTGGGTTCAGGGGTCCAGGTACTTGGACTCATCCACTGCCTTCTTAGGCACATTAGCAGGCAGCTGGATCAGAAGCAGAGCTGGGATGCCAACTGATACTGGATGCAGGTGTCCGAAGTATCAGCTTAATCTGCTATGCCATAATGCCTGCACCTCTAAGCTGTTAATAGCTGAGTATATTTTTCTTATAAAAAGTGAAGTGTTATGATTTTGACATCATTCCTCAGTGAATCATCATTTGTGATCCCAGTCTTCTCTCCTTCCCAGAGGTTAGCCTTTGTGTGTGATCTCTCCTAGGAATTTTTTCCCCTTAAACAGATACATAAAATATACAAATGATGTATTATTTTTAAAAATATTTTCAGTTTACTTCTTAAATAACTTCATTGTTTCATCTCTGTCCTACAGGCAGCTAAGAAAGAACATGCAGCTATCATTCTTTGGAACACTACATCTTGGAAACAGGTGCAGAATTTAGTTTTCCACAGTTTGACTGTCACGCAGATGGCGTTCTCACCTAATGACAAGTTCCTACTAGCTGTTTCCAGAGATCGAACCTGGTCTTTATGGAAAAGACAAGATTTAATCTCAGCTGAGTTTGGTAAAGCAGCTTATCAATATTAAGAAGCTAATGGTTAAGGGAAGTGGAAAGATAACAAGGTGAAGGGCAGCAGAGCCTCCTGGTCGTGAAGCCTTTCAAAGTTCTTAGATAATGAGGAAGACTTGGCCTTGCTTGTAAGGCTTGAATGCAGGTGATCTTTGGGTTGACCTCTGTGATTATGTAGTAAGGAGAGCAGGTGTTCAGACATCATAGTGAAAGAAACAAAAATCTATGTGTAGAAAATTTGAATTTTACAAATGGCTGTAGAATGCCGCCACGAAACCACATAGATGACTCAGGTGAGATGGGATTTTATGGGGCAGGAGCAGTGAAGATGGGTGGATGTATACTTGTGACTGAATAGTTTCTTTCCTCTCTGAAATCTTACAAATATATTTTAAGTTACCAAACTTAGACCATTATCCTTAGCCCTTTCTTACCCTCCCTTGTTACTTTGATAGTGGAGAAGGGTGTGTAGGCATTTATCTGTGGTTCATCTGATCCCTGGGCAAAGTTCTACTCTGATCTTGACATAAATGGAAAAAAACAAGGAAGTAAAAGATTTACGTTGTTGCAGCACTGGCCTATTTTTATTCCCCAATTTTTTAAAAAAGATTTATTTATTTATTTGAAAGTCAAGAGTTAAACACACAGAGAGAGAGAGAGAGTCTTCCATCCTCTGGTTCACTCCCTAGTTGGCTGCAAAGGCCAGAGCTGGGCCGATCCGAAGCCAGAAGCTTCTTCCAAGTCTCCCACCCGAGTTGGGGGCCCAAGGCCTTGGACCATCCTCTACTGCTTTCCCAGGCCATAGAAAAGAGCTGGATCAGAAGTGGAGCAGCCGGGACTCAAACCGGTGCCCATATGGGATGCCAGCACTGGAGGCGGCAGTTTTACTGATGCCACAGCGCCTGCCCCTCCCCAGTTGTTTTTTCGTAGAAAAATTTTACATAGTATCTATATCATGGTGTTTAATCCTGTTTTTTATTTTTCTATTGGTATGACTTGCATACATTTGAATCTTGTGATGTTTCTAGTCCATTAGTTTCTTAAATTTTAGAGAGTGCTCAGGGACTGTAAAACATACTTAGCAATATGTGTTGACTAGTTTTTTCCGTATCAGGATCTGCTATGCATTGTTTACTACTTTAAAAGCTGAAACAGTATTAACGACAACTATATTGATTTGTTGCATCTTTATGGACTATAGATTAATAGGTACACTCTCCTCATAAGCAGTTAGGTTTTACATTCTATCCATATAAGGGTAGATGTTACCTTGTGTTTAAATATAACAAGGAAAATATTTTGAGTGTTTTTTTTTTTTTTAAAGATTTCATTCATTCATTTAAAAGAGTGACAGAAAGAGAGAGAGGTTTTCCATCTGCTGGTTCACTTCCCACATGCCCACAACTGCTGAGGCTGTGCCAGGATGAAGCCAGGAGTCAGGAACGCCCTCTGGGTCTCCACGTGGGTGGCAGGGATTCAAGTATTTGAGCCATCATCTGTTGCCTTCTCAGGATAGCCAGGACATAAACAGGAACTCTAATATGGAATGTGGGCATTGTCAGTGGTGGCTTAACCTGCACCACAATGCCACCCCTCAACCCCTCTTTTTTTTTTTAATTTTATTTTTTAATGTTGGTTAAGTGGTACATTAATATTTTTGCCTGAGCTAATTAGAGAATTTGACTTCTTCCTGAGTATAGTTAAACTGCTTCAGGCTTTTCCCTAGGTGTAAATTGAACCTTTAGTTGAGTTCTAACATAGCTGTCCCTCGTCACTACAGAATGACTAGCTGACATAAAGACCACTTCCCCCCTGTAGGGAAGTAACTGTGTGCCCTCAGCCTTCTGCTGGAGGGGTCAGTGGCCTGGCCCCAGGTTGTTGGAAAGATCAGCATCTGTACATTGATTGGTGGGCCCCATGACATACCATAAACAACACACAGAGCTTTGAAAAGGGCAAAAAAAAAATCTTTCTCTGCTTTGTGAGTGGTGTATGCATTTTTCTTTGATTCAGACCCAGTGTTCAGTCTCTTTGCCTTCACCAACAAAATCACTTCTGTGCACAGTAGAATTATTTGGTCTTGTGATTGGAGTCCTGATAGCAAGTATTTCTTCACTGGGAGTCGGGACAAAAAGGTAATTTTGTTTTTAAACTTACCCTTTTCAAATGTGGGATAATATTTTTACAGGTATGTTTGAGTAAAAAACATTCTGCCTTTATGATACAGCTTAAAAATCAATTTATGTATATTGCCTTCCAGGTTTTCCATATACACACACTGAAAAGGCTTTTCTTGTTAAATTCTAAGTACATTTCTCTGAAATATCAAACATACAAAGGGAAGACTTCTCAGATACATGACTTTCATCAGATGGCCCCAGTGGAAGAAGAGTAGTAAATGGAATGGATTGATACCAAGAAACTAAGAGGGTGGTGGGTGGGGGAGAAGGGCGGAAGAATTTCTAGGGTTTTTTTTTTTTAGTGTTGATTTTTATTACTTTTAAATTTCCATGTATCTGAAAGATAGAGAGATAGATCCTCCATTTGCTATTTCACTCCCCAAATGCCCACAGCAGCCCAGGCTGGGCCAGGCTGAAGCCAGGAGCCCAGAACTCCATCCTAGTCTTCCACATGATGGCAGATGCCCATGTACTTAAGCCAGCATCTGCTGCTTCCCAAGATGCATAACGGGAAGCTGGATGGGAAGCAGAGGAGCCAGGATTCAAACCAGCACTGATACGGGGTACAGGCATCTCAGATGGCAGGTTAACCAGCTGCACACAGCACTTAACCTCCGTTTTTAGTTTTCTGATTAATATTTGTGTGACTTCAGACATTTTTTCCTTATGAATAATTACATTTCTGTTCAGTGGTAGAACAGATCTATGTGTGATCCAAACTTTGATTTTATCAAAACAGATTAGCTAGCATTATATTCCTGGACATGACCTTCATTCTATTCTGTGAAAAACATCCCCTGGCCTGTGTCTTTCCTGTGATTTCATACTCTTTTTATTTTTATTTAAGATTTATTTACTTATTTGAAAGTCAAGAGTTACACAGAAAAGGAGAGGCAGAGAGAAAGGTCTCCCATCCGCTGGTTCACTCCCTAGATGGCCGCAACGGCCAGAGCTGCACCAATCCAAAGCCAGGAGCCAGGAGCTTCTTCTGGGTCTCCCATGGGGGTGTAGGGGTCCAAGGACTTGGGCCATCTTCTACTGCCATTCCAGACCATTAGCAGAGAGCTGGATTAGAAGTGGAGCAGCCAGGACTCGAACCGCCCCCGTATGGGATGCCTGCATTGCAGGCAGTGGCTTTACCCATTACATCACAGCTCTGGCCCCTTCATATTTAAAGTGAACTTTGTTAGCATTTGCTACAGAGCAGAGGTGGTGAGGCAACTTAGCATTTCCTTTCCTCTCCTGGCCCCCTGAAGCCAAAGGCAAGCATGAGCATGGGGTCAGTCAGGTTAAACATTTGTATTGTTTGCCTGCTCGCTTCTTTCCCGGTATTTATTTATCTGTGCTGTGCTGGATGCTGAGGAAGCAGGACTGCTTCTTCGCTTCACAGTCGGGCCTGGCAGCAGGTGGTCCAGCTGGGACTTTCAGGGATATTTCTGGGATGAAGTGGACCAAGCAGCATCCACTGCATGTCCTGCTTGCTTGGGCAGAGCATTTTGCTCAGGACCTTGGTGTGGTCCTGCCTTTTTAAACTGTCGTCTACTTCCCTTGTGACCAATGACATACTCCTGTGGCATGGGCTTTCCAGAGAAGCCTCATTTCTTGAGGGGTATCATCAAGGTTAGGTCTTCTTGATAGGTCAGTTGATTTTCTTTTTTTTTTTTTTTTTTTTTTTTTTTTGACAGGCAGAGTGGACAGTGAGAGAGAGAGACAGAGAGAAAGGTCTTCCTTTGCCGTTGGTTCACCCTCCAATGGCCGCCGCGGCCGGCGCGCTGCGGCCGGCGCACCGCGCTGATCCGGTGGCAGGAGCCAGGAGCCAGGTGCTTTTCCTGGTCTCCCATGGGGTGCAGGGCCCAAGCACCTGGGCCATCCTCCACTGCACTCCCTGGCCACAGCACAGAGCTGGCCTGGAAGAGGGGCAACCGGGACAGAATCCGGCGCCCCGACCGGGACTAGAACCTGGTGTGCCGGCGCCGCTAGGCGGAGGATTAGCCTAGTGAGCCGCAGCGCCGGCCCAGGTCAGTTGATTTTCTGAATAGTGGATGGTATAAAGGAAGAGTCAAGGAGACTTGATTGGTGACTTTTCCCCGAGGTGCCTGAGCCCCTCATTGAGGACACAGCTGATGGAATTCCACCAGATCAGCTAGTTTGTGAGAATAAAGAGCATGCTAGATGCTCCTCTGGCCTCCGGGCTGAGACAGTCTGTCTGCACCAAACTTAGGTGGTTGAGGTCTCCCAGACTCAGTATCTGCTCTGAGCCGTTGAACATCATATGTAAGTGCGAATGCTGCCCCTTTTAAATGCCAGAGCAAATATTGTGTATTATTTGCGCCATCAAAACTCTCTAGCAAATTGCTAGAATCTTTGCAAAGAGAAAGCTTACAAGTGTTATCTGTATTAGGTGGTTGTCTGGGGTGATTGCGACTCCAATGACGACTGCGTTGAACACCACATTGGCCCCTGCTCCTCGGTCCTGGATGTAGGGGGCTCTGTGACGGCCGTCAGTGTGTGCCCGGTGCTTAACTCTTCCCAAAGGTCAGTCTCTGGATGGGGTTCAGTTTGATTTCTTTAAGAGGACTGCTTGGTTTCTCAGCGCATAGTCCTCTTACCATTTCATTTGTGGGTTTGCTTTGCTTCTAAATTGCTGTGGTTTTCAAAGTTTCTTATGTTTCTCATATGAATTTTTAAATTGATAGAACTCAGGGACTCAGTATGGTTAACTAGACCCTACAGATGTGACCTGAAGGTTCTTATTTCACCAAAGACAGATGGTGGTGCTTACTCCGTAACAAGCATCTCTGATAGAACAGGGGTCCCTGTGGATAGCAGGGGAATGCTGGCTGCTGCGCTCTGCCAGCTGAAGACTAAAGCTGCATGTACCCTCTGTAGAGAGCAGGCTTGTTGTGGGCACAGAAGACAAGTGCAGCGTATCCTGGGCTGACACCTTCAGAGTCCTTTGTAAGCCAGGGACACGTGGGACCCTGTAAGAACTACTTTAAAGTGATGATGGAGAGAAAAATCCATGCCAAATCAATCACTGCCTTCCCCTTCCCTTAAAAACAGGTATGTGGTTGCCGTGGGATTAGAGCGTGGAAAGATTTGCTTGTACACCTGGAAAAAGACTGATCAAGTTCCAGAAGTAAATGACTGGGCCCGCTGTGTAGAAACAAGTCAAAGGTATTTACTTCCTGTTTTTCTTCTCATCAGATTAGATAAAAATGTTTCATGACAGATTTTATGTCTCATTTTCACAGAGAGGAGCAGAAATCTCCCTCTGGGATACTTACTACTGAGTGGTACTGTGTTAGTACCACTTGAAAGTGATGTTTGTTAGTATGTTATTTTGGTTTTTAGAAGTTCACTTGGCCACGTTGCTTGTTTACATAATACTGTTCTTACAAGCAACAGAGAGATTTGAGAAGAAAGTGGCTTTCATAATGGTGTGTTTTGGAATTTGATTAATTAATTAATAAAGTTGAATTTAAAAGGTTTGTGATGTTTTGAAGTGTTTTACAGATCATGCTTTGGTATGTTATATAATATATATATTGTTGTTAATATATATATTTCCTTTTTTTAAAAACTCATGATTTTTTTCCCCCAAAGAAACCTTTTATTTAAGGAATACAGACTTCATGCATTTCATAAATACAACTTTAGGAATAGAGGATTCTTCCCAGCGTACCCGCCCTCCCACTCCCACTCCCACTCCTCTTCCTCCACCTCCTCCCTCTCCCATTCCCAGTCCCATTCTCCACTAAGATCCATTTTTTATTAACTTCATGTACAGAAGACCAACTCTGTACTAAGTAAAGAGTTCAACAATTTGCACAAAAAAATCCTGTTCCTCAATAGTCAAGAGAAGTTCAAAGTCGTTGCATCTTGAAGTTAATTTCACTTCACTTTTTTGGAAACTTATGAACTTTTAAAAAGCACCCAAGAATGATACATCTTTTGGGTGCACTTAGACATAATTATAATACAACTCTTTGAGGATATAATATATTTTATATATATTATATTATATCACAGATGGTGCTTGTTTCCTTGTGTCTGAGCACTTCCCCTCAGTAACAGTTCAAATTGCTGTGTGGCCCTCAAAGCCCTGGGACTGACTTTCAAGCACAGCAAGTGCTCTGTAGGCTCCATACCGTGGGCACAGGCCTTTGCCATGTGAGCATAGGTAGAGCACCTGCTGTTTACAGCCTCCCCCCACCCCCACCCACTTAGCAGGGATCTTTTTTTTAAAGATAATTTTTTACTTGAAAGGCAGTTAGGGAGAGAGATCTTCCAACTGCTGGCTCACTCCCCATATGGCTCCAAGAGCTGGGACTGGGCCAGGCCGAAGCCAGGAGCCTGAGCTCCATCTGGATCTCCCATGTGGGTGGCAGAGGTACAAGCACTTAGGCCATCTTCCGCTGCTTTCCCAGGCACATTAGCAGGAAGTTGGACAGAAAGCAGAGCAGCCAGGACTGGAACCGGTGCTCCACTATGGGATGCTGGCTTTGCAGGCAGCAGCTTAATCTGCTGCACCGCAACGCTGGTCCCACAGGGGTCATTTTTAATCTACTTTTTAAAGATATCTAAACCTACCAAAGTCACTAATACCAGTAGGTATTATATTTTCTTCAACCTTCATTTATCCATACCATTTAAAATACAGTTCAAGGGTGAAAAGCTTAATGGGAAAGGAATTTGTGAGGCCACATCTTTTGAAAGATATGTCCTCTGGTGGAGCTTGTCTCCGTATTTACCTAACACATTAGTGCTTCTTATAATTGTTTAGATTCTGCTGTTGTACTCCTCCCTTCTTTCCCACCTTGTGGTGCTGAGTTTAGCTGTTGAAATGGTTCATTCTATTGGCTTGCTGAAGAGGAAGAAATACAATGAAATTTCATATTCCAGGCACTTGAAATCTTTTTTTTTTCCTGCTCCTCTGCCTTCTCCTGTCCTCGTTTTACTCTGCCTGTCCACAGAGCTTGCTGCCTAACCTGGTACCCTGATTACTTCCATCTGGGCCCCAGCAGTAGTCCCTTAGAAAGCACAGGAAGGAGGCAGGTACAGAATTTGGCGCAGAGGGTTACACTGCCACCTGTGTTGCCAGCATCCCATATCAAGGTGCTGGTTCAGGTCCCCACTGCTCAGTTTCCTACCATGCTCCCTGGAAGATGGCCATGTACTTGGGCCCTGACACCCATGCAGGACATCAGGATGGAGTTCCAGGCTCCTGGCTTCGGCCTGACCCAGGGCTGGCTGTTACGGCCATTTGAGGAGTAAACTGGCTTGTGGAAGATCTCTCTGTCTATCTCTCCTTTCTCTGTCACTCTGCCTTTCAAATAAATGAAATAAATATTTTTAAAAATCAAATTTGTCCTTGCCCCTGTATCCACGTGGGAGACCTAGAAGAAGCTCCTGGCTCCTGGCTTTGACCTGGCCCAGCCCTGGCCATCATGGCCATTTGGGGAGAGAACCTCTGTCTCTCCTTCTCTCTCTGTCTCTGTCTCTATCTCTATCTCTATCTCTGCCTTTCAAATAATTGAATAGAAATATTTTAGAAAAAAAATCAAATTCATCCTCCAACGAAGGTGAGTTCTCACTGAGAGCACTCATGTCATAGTCTGCATGATATGGAAGCATTTCCTTTACAAGAACTTCTGACAACCTGTGGCACAGCAGCCTTGTTAGAACCTTCCAGGGTGACCACTTGGAAGGGACCTCATTTGGTTGTGTGTGTCCTGGTGGGCAGATGTTTAAAATGTGCTTCATTACTTCAAGGTTATACTTCATTCTTAGCTATGTATCTTGAGAGGATATCTGGTGACAGGATCTCTCAGAATCTCAAAGTGTCAGTTCTTGTGCTCTGCTGTTGTTTTCAGCGTTGACTGCCTTGAAATCTACTTAGATCGTTCACTTTACTGCTTTTTGGCTTGAGTGTGTTCAGTTGTAGGTTGGATTTGTAGAGGCTATTGCACTTCTGTAGAGAGCTATTACGAATCTGCATGGTAGCATTCCAGGTAGGGTCTTGGGGAGACGGGGAGCAGTGGTGTGGTTGTCTCGGCCCAGGTCCTGCTGTTAGAGGTCACACTGAAGACGCAGACTTCTTTCCTGTGCCGTTTATGAAATCTTTCACCTTTTTCTGTACTTTTTATTTCTTTATCTGAGAGACAGGGAGAAAGTGAGGTAAAGAAAACTCCCCCCGCTGGTTCATCCCACTGGTGCCTGCAGTGGGTAGGGCTGGGCTAGGAGCTGAGAACAAGCAGCAGTTTAACCCATTGTGCCACAACACCAGCCCCGTAGTCATCAAATTAACAAGTAGTGACACCTAGTAAAATATTCTGTGGTTATAACACATTGATTTCATGGTTTTTCTTTGTTTTCAGCCAAAGTCATACGCTTGCTGTCAGAAAGTTAAGCTGGAAGAACTGCAGTGGAAAATGTGAACAGAGTGAAGACGATGCTGACTGGTTACACTTTGCCAGCTGTGGCGAAGACCACACTGTGAAGATCCTTAAAGTTAACAGACGTGCACTGTAGTGGGCTCATAACTACGTGCTGACTTCAAAGACTTGCCGTGTAAATACATAAGTCAGCAGCAGTGCTTATTTGGATGCTGGACCCTCTGATACGTAGTGAGAGCTACAGAGCCTTTTCTTATTACGCAGTGTGTACACACACACACACACACACACCCAGAATTTTACCCGATCTTCAGAGATTCTGGGACCTGTAGACCTGCTTTTATGTATCCCTAAGAACCTTTCTGTTCATTCTTCATCACCAGATTTGCCTGATTTTGCTATTTGGGGACTTTTCATTTGCTTTAGTCCTTCTGTGTTGATAAAAGAAGATACCTGAAGATGAGTGCTTTATAATGAAAAGAGATTTATTTGACTCACATTTCTGCAGCTCCAGGAGCATGGGGGCTGCTCTGCTTGCCTGTGGTGAGGGTCTTGGTGTGGATGGCATCACAGTGGCATGTAGAGAAGGAGGTCACATGGTGAGATGGAAAATAAGAGAGAATCAGGGGGAGGTGCCAACTTCCTTGTAACAGCTTTCTCATGGAGAATACACTCCCATGAAAAAAGCACTAACTTCTCTTAAAGGCTAATCACTTCCCACTGGACCTCACCTTTTAAAGGTTCCAGCACTGGGGCCAGCGCTGTGGCATGGTGGGTAAAGCCACCACCTACAGTGCCAGCATCCCATATGGGCACCGGTTCAAGTCCCGGCTGCTCCACTTCCAATCCAGCTCTCGGCTATGGCCTGGGAAGGCAGTGGAAGATGGCCCAAGTCATTTGGTCCTTTCACCTGGAAGAAACTCCTGGCTTCTGGCTTGAGATCGGCACAGCTCCAGCCACTGTGGCCATTTAGCGAGTGAACCAGTGGATGGAAGACTTCTGCCTCTCTGTAACTCTGCCTTTTGAATGAATAAATCTTAAAAAAAAAAAAAAAAGAAAAGAAAAAGAAAAAATAGTTTGTCGCTCCCCGTCTTCGTGGAGGAACGACACAGGACCCTGCGTTGTTCTTTCATCTGCTCGGCCCTCCCCGGGTTTGCTGCTGGTTCTTCCCGGGTTGGCTGCCGTCCCTTCCACCTCCGTGGAAGGGCGGTTCCCCCTGCCACATTCCCCACTTCCACAGGGGAGCGGCACACCGCCGGCCGGCTCTCTCAGGGGCTGCACAGGTGTTCCTTCAGATAGATGTTCCCCTTAGATGTTCCTGGTGCATGTTGTCTCTCTCCTCCTTTATAGTCCTCTTCCGCCAATCCCAACTCTGCTACCCACACGCCAAGCACGCTGCTCTCCTCCAGTCAGGAGCAAGATCAGCTCCTGCAGCTTGTCAAGTTGGTGAGAGGCAGCTGTGTAGAAGCTGTACGCTCCTCTCCCAGCGCCACATTGTGGGAGAGCAGATGCATAGAATAAGTCTTAATTCCAGTAACAGTATAGTCCGAGTTGCTCCCCACAAGTGTTGTACTAAGTATACTAACTCTTTAAAAAAAAATGATTTATTTATTCACTTGAAAGAGTTACAGCCAGAGAGGGAGAGACAGAGAGAGATCTTCCCTCCTCTGGTTCTCTACCCACTGGGCCAGGCTGAAGCCAAGAGCTTCATCTGGATCTCCCACATGGGTTCAGGCGCCCAAGCATTTGGACCATCTTTTGCTGCTTTCCCGGCACAAAAGCAGGAAGCCAGGTAGAAGTAGAGCTGCCGGGACTCAAACCAGCACCTTGATGCCAGTGCTTCAGGCAGTGGCTTAACCAGCGGGACTACAGTGCTGGCCCCATTGGTGGATTTTTTTGCCATTATCACACAATAGTTTGCCTCCAAAGGAGTTAAGTGATGGTTTACATAAAAGTTTATGTAAAATATATAATATTTCTGGTCCAATAGAAATAGAGTATGAGCTACATAGGAAATTTTAAATACTCTAGAAGCCACATATTAGAAGTTTCTCTTAATGACACATGTCCTTTAATACAGTATGCCCCAAATATTAATATATCAGCATACTGTCAGCCTTCTGTATCTGGGTTCTGCACCATGGTGTTAACTAACTAGATTGAAAATATATGGAGGAGGAGGGGTAGAGGAGAGATAGTGTTTGTATTGCACATTTACAGGCTTTTTTTTCCCTTGTCATTATTCTCTAAACAATATAGCAGAACCATTTACATACAGCATTCACATTATGTTAGGTATTATAAGTAATCTAGAGATGATTTGAATTATATGCAAGGGAGTGGGCATTTAGCCAGGGGTGAAGATGCCTGCATCACACATCAGTGTACTGTGGTTTGATTCCTGGCTCTGGCTTCTGACCAGCTTCCTGTCAGTGCAGACCCAGGGAGGCAGCAGTGAGAGCTCAAGTCATTGGGTTCAGGGCTGCAGCCCAGCCCTGGCCGTTATGGGCATTTGGGGACTGAACAAGTGAATGGGAACATATAGGAGGATATGCATTGCCTGTGTACAAATACTGCACTGTCTCATAAAGGACTTGAGCATCCACAGGGAACTCTGGGACCAGTCTCCCACACAAATGGAAGGGTGGCTACAATCAGTGAGCTATTTTGTACTGCAAGCCTTTCTCAGTTCAGACTAACTACATTTCAGTCGCTGCAAAGCTGCATGTAGCTAGTGACCATGTATATATGGCCAGTGCAGTTCTAGACCATTGCATCTCTAAATTGCCGTTAGCTCCGTGTGTGTGTGTGTATGTGTGTGTGTGTGTGACCAAAGCAGTGCGCCCCTGAGCTTGCCAGTCTTGGACCAGCATGCCCTGCCCTCAGGTACTGTTTCCTGACACAGTGTTCTTGTTCTGACTGTGGTGGATGCAGGATTCCGGAGCAGATTCCATGGACTGACCCCCTAAGCTTACCTAGAAGCAGGCCTTGCTTTGGAAAGACTGAGTTTCCAAGTTGACAGTTTTCCCAAGTTGCCTTGAAGCATCTTCCTCAGCAATAAGTAATCACCTCTGTAATTCACTAAGTGTGCAGAGGGCTAGCTGTATACACTTGGCCGGTCTGCATTGTAATTCACGTATATTGACCTGCTATGGGAGTGTCTTAGGAACCATATTGTAGCATGTAACACCTAAAGCAGGAAGACAGTGGGAACTTCAGAGCAGCTGAGGAGTATCTCAGGATTCCTGGAATGCTGTTCCCTTTACCATCTCATTTCTTGGCTCAGTTCACAGCACCAAATGTCCAGCTGAGGCCAGGCAGCAGCCAGCCTACGTGGCTGCTGTTTTCTAACCTGTACAACTTTCCTAGAAGGAGGAGAGGTGATTGGGTTGTTCAAATTACCTTGGACAGCAAGGAACCAAATCACTACTCTGTCATCCCAGGAACCACAGTGAAAATGGAATTAATTATTGATTGCAAAGAGAAAATGTAAGATTGGAGAGAGATTATGCAAATTGACTAAACTGAAAACACAGAATCATGCTCTTTTTAACTTGGAAATCCTGGCCACCCACTGTTATCATGGGGAGAGATCGTCAGATTAATAGCAGGATTTCAACAGAACATTAAAACCAGAACAGAGAAGTGCTGAGCGGAGTTGAAGAGCGATTCTTAGAAGGTGAGCTCGGGCGATTACAGGGAATCTGGGACCACAGCCAGTGTTTCTGTGGAAGATGGTTGAAGACCCCAATCTGGCTCTTAGCAGATGGCAAGATAAAGGTCTATAATGCAGCCCTTGTTACCTCATAACCAAAATATTTTCTCATAAGCAAAATGACCAAAAATGGGCCCTTTTGTCTGCCAGGAAAAGTGTTCAGAAGTGAACACATGTACTGTGTGTGCTTAGGAGACCAAATTGCTCATTCTTATACCAGTTCAGAATGACTGAAAATAAATGTTAGACTATGGCCATCTATATATATGCTGAAGTGTTTCAGGGAAGTTTACAGAAGTTTGCAACTTACTTTGAAATACATAAAAACCATGATTGCTGGATAATAAGATGAACACTCGAACCTATATGTGATGGAACAAGCCCCATAAAAAGATTAATGGTAGCTTCGTACCATTTGTAATGCTCAAAGGACATTAGCCACAATAGCCAAGAGACGGAAGCAATGTAAGCGCCCATTATTGGGGGCGGGGTGGAGAGATGGATCAACAAGAGTGTGGTATGTACTAAGTAAATAATTTTTTTTTAATTTATTTCTATTTGAAAGGTAGAGTTACAGAGAGACAGAAGGAGAAAGAGATCTTCCATCTACTGGTTCACTCCCCAAATGGCCGCAACAGCTGGGGCTGGCTGGGCCAGGCTGAAGTCAGAAGCCAGCAGCTTTTTCCGGGTCTCTTACATGGGTGCCGGGGCCCAAATGCTTGGGCCATCTCCTACTGCTTTCCTGGGAAGATTAGCAGGGAGCTGGAATGGGAATGAAACATCCGGCACACGAACTGGCACCCATATGGGATGCCAGCATTGCAGGCGGCGGCTTAACCCATTATACTGCAACACCAGTCTGATAAATAAAAGAGATTATGACATATAATACAGTTGAAACTTGAGGACCTACCTTTTGCTGACTGAAATAAGCCTGTCACCAAAAGACAAATACGGTACTGTATGATTTCACTTACATAAGGTAAATAGAATGGCAGTTGCCAGAGACTGGGAGGAAGAGATGGTGGGTTGTTTAATGGGTAGAGTGTTTCAGTTTTGCAAGATGAAAACTTTGAAGGTTAGTTGCGCAACAAGGTAAATATACTGAACTGTACACTTAAAAATCGTTAAGATGAGGGCAGGTATTTGGCATAGCAGTGAAGCTACTGGTTAGGTTGCCCATATCCCACATTGGAGTGCTTGGGTTCCATAGCATCTATCTAGCTTCTGTTTCCAGCTTCCTGCTTATGCAGACCCTAGGAGGTAGAATGATGAATTCAGGAAAGTCAGGAGCTAAGGCCAGCCATAAAACTCAGGCACTCCAATATGGGTCCCAGGTGTCTCCCAAACACCTGACCCCCAAGTGTTTAACAGGTTAATCTTCATTGTGAATTGCCAGGAGGAGGTTCTGTCTCACAGCAGTTCCCAAACAAACTCAGAGCCCTGGCCCATAAAAAAGGGTTTATGATGGTAATGGGTATATGGGTAAGAGCTCTATAGTTCTTAATCCACCTGCTTAATTTTTTTCATAACGGGAGAAAATGACCTAAAGATGCTACATTTGAATTGGAGCTGAGCTAACACAAGGCTGCTGCTGCTGGGGAGCCCTCCCTCCCTCTGCTCTCTGCCAGGTGCCTACTTCTAGGGTTAACAGAGATGGGAACTTGAAGGGGCAGCTGGGCCACTGCAGATGGAAGGCCAGGGTAGAGGTCTGGGCCTTGGTTCTGATGTTTGAACAGACCCAGTCA